TTAAAGGCCATCTAATTCCAACCCCCCTGCTGTGGGCAGGGATGCTTTGCACTAGACCAGGTTGCCAAAGCCCCATCCAACCTGGCCTGGAATGCTTCCAGGGATGGGGCATCCACAACTTCCATGGGCCACCTGTTCCAGTGTCCCACCATCATTGCTCTGTTCTCCTGTGGACTTCACAAGTAGGTCCTGTCCCATGATCAGCCTTGATTCGTTGCTATGTAAAATAGTTTAGTTGAATTCCCCAAGAAAGGAGACAGTCTTGTTTTGTTTGCATTTATCTTTCTTAATGAAAATAAATGTCCTTGTATCTCAGTTCAGGTGTTTCCAGTGGCTCAGGACAGGTGGGAATGGGGCTGAGACACCTGTGCCTATGCAAAGCAGCTGTGGAGCGAAGTCTGTGGAGGTCCTCTTTCTTAAACACCCCATCATATCCCAATTAGAGGTGCATTTGGCCTTGAACTAAGGTGGAGTACAAAGAACTTAAAGCTTTATCGTCCTGATCTTGAAAGCTCCCCCTAACCTCCTGTGTGTGCCTAATGCCATGCTTTCTGCTCTGCCACTGACCTCAGTGGGAACCTGCAGTGTGTACAGAGGTAAATGTATGTTTTGGGCAATGCTCAGGATTTGGGTTTAAAAGATGACCTTAAAAAAAAAAAAAAAAAAAGGTGGTCTGAAATGGCATGAGGAAAGGCTGGTTTAAAAAAAATCTGATGTTTAAACTCTGGCAAATGTCACATGTTGCTGCAAGTTTCCCGTGGGAATACGGATCTAGGACTGACTTGTAATAGTAAATTAAAGTATTTGCAGCACCCCTAAATTGAAATATAAAATATAGTTGTTAGAGGAAATGAACTGCTTCTGTTTTCTTCAACTGCAGTTATGCATGTAAGAAGAAGTATATTTTGGCAAATCCTGATTTGAGGTAGGGAAAAAAACTAGCAATACTCTGAGACTATGTATCGTATTTTTGAAAGCCTACAAAATTGTCAAAACCTTAAAAATGATCAAAATAAAAACACAGGTCAACTAGAACCAAAAGCTGAAATCTCCAAAACTTTGAAAACTGTTGTGTGCATAGACTTTGAATTTGACTGTGAAAATAACAGAATCCTTCAGGTTGGAAGAGACCTCCAAGATCACCTAGTCCAACCTCTGACCTAACACTAACAAGTTCTCCACTAAACCATATCACAGAGCTCTACATCTAAACGTCTTTTAAAGATCTCCAGGGATGCCCAAAATATATGTGTTGAGCCGGTGCTTTAGCAGAGAGTGGTTAACTATAAAAGTAGAATGAGAGAGGAATTTTGTGAGTACACTCTTATGAAAACTCCATAGCCTAATTTGGGATAGTTGAACTTTGATTTTTATCAAAAATCTAATCTTAAATAAGATGAAAGTGTTACCTTCTCTATTGCCACATATCCCGGTAAGTTGAAAGGATATTTTTTGTGTGTATTTAAAATGGTATTTTGTGTTTAAAATCTTCTATTCAGTGAATATACTGTGTGGTTTCTATTTCCATTTCTGCTTTTGCAATTGTTCTTGTGTCCTTAGGGCTGTATATATTCAGAATAAAAGTAAGAATAGAAATAAATGGATACCTACAGACAAATTGAACCATAACATTTACATTTTTCCCTTATCTGATCTGAGAGTTTTGCAATTGCTGGGTTAGTAACCCCTCCCTCTCATTCATGAACTCATATTTGACAGAGCAAAAGGAATGCTGCTCCCTTGTTTCTTAGCATCACTTAATGGACTTGATTGAGTAAATCACTTACAATGGGATTTGTGACAAACCACCACAGCTGATCTGAGCAAGATTTTTATTATTATTATTATTTTTACTAGTGACTAGTGTGAGCTAGGCCTGGAATTTTAAATCGGTCAATTGTTTTCTTTTACTCCTCTGAATCAGATTTTATTTTGAGTCAGTTAATATTTATACCTTATTTCAGTTCAGATTTTTGTTCCTGTATGTTGTAGTAAAGCAAACACAGCAGCAGCAAGAATAATTGAACATGACTTTAAAATTGCAGTGATTGAAGTGGAGGGCTGTGGTGTGATGCCACTCACCTACCTTTAATCATTTACATGTGATGTATTCACTGGAGGCTGCCTTTATAGACAATGAGGAGAATTATACCCTGTAACTATTTCACTTCACTTCACTTCAAATGGAGTCTAGGAGACTATCCCATATGCACATGCTTGTATTTGCTCAGATACATCAATCTTAATAAATTAGGCAACAGATGCATTTCCAATCTGATTGACAATGGAATACTATAAAACAATTGACCTGTGAGGATTATTCAGCAAAGACTTCAACAGTTTGACCCACTTAGCTTTTTGATTAAGTTGCAGCCTGATTGCAAATGACTGGTTTGCAAAATACAACACAAATCGGTGGTTTCTAATGCACCTTTTCTTTGGGTAGCCAGAGGGTGAAAAACATTACCTTACCTCAGGTTCCTGTTCGGGCAGCACAGATGCATCTGTATTGTTTTGTGTTATATGCTGTCTCTTGTGATGTATACCTTTTTTCTTTTTGGGAGTAGAAGGTGATTTTAAGTGGGCAGCACTTTCTGAAGCTTGTTAGATGTTTCTTTAAGCTGCTCCTTAAAATCTGTTGATTCTGCAGTTTGCAGCTCTTCATGAGGTAGCAAAACCTGCAAGACAAAAGGCATGGGTATTTTCACTGATTGAAAGCTGCCTTGTGGCTGTATCCAATTTATTTGAAAAAGCTGTTCATAAGCTTCAACCCTGAGATTTGTAATCCTTATTTAATAAAATGCTGTCATAAAGACCACTTTTTAATGCCTTCATGGGCTGGAGATGAGGTTTTGAAACAGAGGTCCATTTACATTAAAAAAAAAAAAAAAGCGTGCTGTGGTAGACCAAGAAAAATAGGCTTTATATAATATTTGAGTTTTACAGTGTTATTTCCTTTATTTTACTTTAAGTGATAGATTACTTCTAAAAGAATAAGTCATATATTCATAAAAATGTAGTTGTATGAGGTTAGCTGGTTTGCAGTGCAGCCCAGTTTGGAAATCACCCTGTGGAGGTAGCTGGCACAGAGCCTTGAGCTGCCTGACCCCATCTAGGATTGTTTGGTGATGTTTGACCATGGGGCTGCCCACACCTCAGGAGTGATTTCACTGTACAGTTATTGAAGGTGAAGGAGGGAAGTGCAAATAACATTTGCTATGAACTCCCCTCCCTTTGGCCTCTGTGGAGATTTTTGGACACCACTTGTCTGTTGTACCTGCACATCTTCTTTTTCTCCTTTAGGGACTCCTGGATGGGGACTGCCACTTGGGGTGTTTCTCTCACTTTCAGCAAGACCAGATTTTTATTTTTAGTTTCATTACTTTTCCAGAAGAGTGAAGCTTTATGTGCAGGATCAGGTGATGGATGTTGAGACCCACTCCTTTAGGTCATGAGATAGGATGCAAAGATGTCAGAGGAAACACAAGTGGAGGTTCCCCCTCAAATCTTTAAAGGCCCACCGAAAAAAAGCCTGTAGAGGCATTGAATCTAAGCATCACGTTGGCTCTGATCTTTGGGTGAGAGTGTTCATAACATTAGCTTTGTAGTCTTAGTTTACCACCACTCTTCTGAAGGTTTGGAGCTGGATAGGAGCCCTGTTCAAAGATTAGTTGGAACAAACTCATCTCTCAGTTTATCAGTTGGAGAAAATGTGATTAGCTACCTAATCTGTTATTGGCTGAGATGTATGACAGCACCCTTTTTCTTAAGTTCATAAACATTTGTACTGTGTACCTACATATGTTTATTCAGCTTGCACTATTTTACAAGCAAATACTTCACAAACTGATGTTTTTTTCTGTTTGCACGAAATGGTAAATGAATAGCAGAATGATGATTTAACATTTTGCATAATACAATATCGAAGAACAATCTAAAAATGCAGACAGGGAGGAAATAAAATTCGTTCATGCATTGCATGCAAGAAACTGAAATGTTCCCCTGTGAAACCAACCATCCTTACAGTTCAATATTAATTCATATGAGAGGGACAATGCACTTTAGCTGGTGCTTTTGGCTTACATCTGTGGAAAGTTCTTCTGTGGAAAATAAGAAGCCCTCAATCTTGAGGCCAGTAGCTACCTTTTTATAATCAACAAGAGCTATAAAAACAGCAACACTTGCTAGGCAGGAGATCTTGGACAAAACAGGGATCACATCTGTGTAATAAGGTTGCCTGCTGGACTGTGTCCTTTCTCTCTTCTGTTATTATGCCCTGAAACACCCTGTAGGGATGAAAACAGGTGCTTGCTCAGAAAAGTCCTAGGAGATACCTTTATTAAAAGTGCTTCATGCTAGCGAACATCTTGAAGGGGGGAGAAAGTAGTCAAAGTGCTATGATAAAAACTTGGAAAAGTAGCAAGTGCTCGAGGGGGCACATGTGGCAGTGGCAAGGAGGACCAAAGAGCAATGTTGACAATGATAGTCCTGAAATGCCAATCTGCAGCAATGTGGCAGCATTCCAAAAGCTGGAAAAATGAATTTTTTTTGGGGGGGGGATCATTTAAGACTGTGTGTATGCAAGTATGCCCTTAAATGTGTGCTAAAATTTCTCGACGAGTGTTAGCCAGACTCTAGGGGCTTACAGACAGACCCCCCATAGGATGAAGAATTAGTAATGTGGGATTAGGCTTATTCTGATTATAATGTCTTTTATTTCCAGTATTAGAACAGGAATCATCCCAAGCATGCACACAGCAGTTGCCAGAAATTGGCCAATGAACACAGAGAATAAGCCAGAGAGCTCTTGCAGCAGCCCACTGCTGTTAGTAACTGCTAACTATTAACATAGCATGCACTGAAAGACTAAAAGCACATTCACGCTGAAGAAAGGCAGTGTGGAAGCACATGCACTGACACTCTCTTATGAGCCAAGTGCTCCTGTTTAGAGGAGCCTCTGTGTTTGGGGCAGTCTTGAACATGACCTTGTGTTCCTCCAGCCTGCCAGGCCATGGGGACAGGAATGATGCTGAGCTCCTGGGCGACCTCTTCCATCGAAGAAGTTGCTGAAGCAGCTCCTGACAGCCTTCGCTGGCTGCAGCTTTATGTGTACAAGGACCGGGAGGTTACCAAATCCCTAGTGAAGCGTGCGGAGAGAGCAGGTTACAAAGGGATCTTCGTGACGGTGGACACGCCGTTTCTCGGAAGGCGCATCGATGATGTGCGAAACAAGTTCCAGCTTCCTCCCCACCTCAGGTAGGTGCCTGCCGGTGGGATGTGGGATGAGCATATGAGTTGGTACACTGTACAGACCCTGACTAATACTTGCTGAAGTGCTGGCAGAGTGGTAGCAGCCAAAGATTGGCTGGAAGGGTAAGGAATGAATGGGATGTGCAGGACTTGGATTTGCAGCAAAACAGAGCTAAAATCTTGCCAGAATCTTGTACTTACAAGGTTCTGATACTGCCCACAGTATCAGGACATATTTTAAGAGTACTGTGTTTGCTCTTACTCAGAATCTGGAAATGAAAACAAAATTGAAATTAAAAAGAAGAAAAAAAATGTATTTTGAAGCATTGATTTGAGTTCTGAGTGAAAGTTAGTTTTGAATACTACTAATGTATCTGAAGTGCTCTTCCAATGTCTCCTACAACTGTTATGTATGTACATGTATGTACCATATGTAACATGAACATACCAAGAAATAAAAAATCACATCCTGAGGTTCTTCATTTTCATAATACTCATTTCAAAGGTAAGCTATGGGACTGCACAATAAATCTGATTGTTCACCTTGGAGGTATAAAGCTCCAGAACATGGGCTGTCAGATCCCATGCCTATATTCTAGTCCTTGAAGCTAACGTGAGATAGTGAAGACTGACAGAACAGCCTTAACTTTGCCTCTGATTTCTATATTAAAGTACAATCTTATGAGAAAAGCACCAGAAGACGCAAAAATCCCGGACAAACCTGACAGTAAAATGTAGTCCGCTGGCATGCATATGCCCCACGTATTAATCCTGCTGTAGATCCGTGATTGACAAAGCTTTGTTGATACACACTGAAATTTTACCCAAGGAGAAGGTATTTTTAAGAGCTTTTTTTAGGGGTAGTATCATTTTAAGGCCTGGGGTTAAAGATAAACAGTTTTTGAATGAGAGTCAAATAACTCAAGAAATATTTGAGACAAGCAATAGAGCATTTCTGAAACACTTTGACCCCACCTGACCCACCAGTAACAAGGTTTTGTTTGATTGAACCATATGAAATAATATGAAGTTGAAGTAATTTCTAAAGGTTAAAATTCCTTCAGATTTCAGAATGACTCTCAGTGTTTTGTTGCAGAGTTGGTGGTGAAATTCTCTAGTGTGGGGCTCTGCTTAGTTATGTGATAACTTTTTCTTGGCTTCAGATTTTCAACAAAGTTTCAAAGCAACAACAAGGTGCCATTGTGCTCAGAAATGTATGTAAGGCAACATTCATTCAAGTGTTGATCTGTATTCCACAGTCCAAGAAAAACAACAGTTATTTATATAATCTTATCCATGGTTCTGTTTTTCTCTGGGTACCCCACCCTTCACAAACCAACAGCTGAAAAGCTGAATCTTGCTGAGAGCCTGCTCCTTTCTCATTTTCTTCTTTGCTTGGAGCTGAACAGAAAACCCGTGTGAAATGTTGCTTGTTACAGGCATGAAATCAGCAGTGAAACTAGCCAGTTTCCGTGCAAAAATAGTGTGTGTTCCCAAAATGTGGAATATGAGTATAAAATAGCACAACGTGGAATGACATGCAATTTCCAGAGAACAGAGCAATCAGCCTGGTGTGGAACAGGGGTGTCCTTGGTGGTACTGGTGTCACTGATGGTGGTTTGGTGTTTGTGAGCGCTCAGGCACTCAGTTTCTCTATGCACCCTCATTTCCTCCTCTCCTGCTTTGTCTAGTAAGACTGAACTCTGATGCCAGGGGCTGATACTTACCATTTGATTCCTAGAACTGATTAGATTGCTTTGGTGCTAAAGAGCAAATAATAGCTAAAGTTTTCATGTGAGCTTTGTTCCCGTACGTTTTACAAGCAAATATACAAAAAAAAAAAAAAAAAAAAAAGATGAATTGTACACAAGAGGAACTGTCTGGATGTTGGTCTTGTCAGCCAGATGAAAATTCTGATTTCTTTGCAAGGCTTCATGCAGTTCCATCTAATTCATGGAACTTAGGAAAATTTCCTTTCCTTTTTCTGCTCTACCATCTACATGTTGCCCTATTTCCTTCAGTGCTTGAATCCCCTGGATTGGGGTGGGGGAGAAGTGGCAGGAAAATACTTGCTGTGTGAAAACTAAGGGCACTTCTGCTACAGATACGGGTAAGTAGAGGTGCACTTCTTGATGTCTGTGGGTCTTGGATTATGTTATGAAAGATCAATGTTCCCTTGGTACGTGTAGCCTTTGCTGCTCAAGAATCTGAATAGCCCACAGTCTGATGCATTTATCCTCACAGTGCCCCTGGAGATGCTGGGAATCTCCATATGGTGGGAAACTGAGGCCAAAGGAGTGGCTAAGGGTTGTGCCCTATTTTGCACGCGAGGTCTATGGCGGGATAGATGGTTGGGCCCAAACCCTAAATTAGTCTTTTCATTGGGTTTTGCCTCCTGATTGTGGATTTGATGACAAACCTTTAGATTTTGGACTTCATTCTATTTCCTTCAAAAACATTAGGAGTGCTGCCTTGTGCCAAAGAAATTTGCACCAAAGTTAACAAATGTTTTGCCAGCTGAAGATCTTGACTTTGACAAACCCTGATACAACATCCTGGGGTAGGCTTTTTTGCTCCTGCCCTACAACACAACACAAATTTAGCACAGGTGTGTTGAATGCCGGCACTAATATTTTTATGACTCCAGTGAATATTTCTCAGACTATTTTTCTGTGTTCTTTGTCATTTTAGATTAAAAAATTTTACAAGCAACAACTTGGCGTTCTCCTCAGGAAAAGACTTTGGAGAAAACAGTGGACTGGCTGTCTATGTAGCCGAGGCAATTGATTCAAGTGTTAAATGGGAGGACATCAAGTGGCTTCGAGGGCTGACCTCACTGCCCATCGTCATGAAAGGAATCCTCAGGGGTGTGTAGTTCTACTGCTTCCTATGGAGCAGGCAAGGCGCTCTCTTGCATAAGGTCAAAGAAGGGGGTTTTGCATTTTGCTGGTTGAAGGTACAGGTCAAGGTTTGTGGTTTATCAGGCCTGAATAATAATAATAATTCTATTTAAGTTCATAGGTTGGTGTAACATCAGTCGTATTGGAAATCACATAGTCAGGAAGATCAAATATTTTACTTGTAAACCCTCACTCTAACATGAGTTGTGTGCTACTTAAAGGAAAGCTGGATTTCTGTTCTGTCAAAAGAGCACTGAGGATGGTAAAATAACTTCATTTACTATGGATTATTACTGCAATCTTATTGATAACTACGGCATTGAGAAAATCATTTAGCAGAAGAATTTTAGGGAGTGCTCCAGGACAGAGAAAAGAGAATAAAAAGACTGGCCATCAAAATGGCTGATAAGCCAAAATGAAAAAATATTCTGCTCCAGGATTTCAAGTGACATTTCTAGTTTTTTTTTTTTTTTTGCTTAAAGACAAAACTGTTATTCTGTGTTGAGATGAGCATTTGGAAGGACGAAGCCCTAAGTAGTTTCCCAGTATCTTGCAATTTATTTTTTTATTTTTTTATTTTTTTTTAACTGATGCCATAATTTCCCTCATGATGTTGCACTCCCAGTTTTGGAAAGGAGTATTTTCTTATTACTTTTTTTTTTTTTTTTTTTTTTTCAGCTGATGATGCTAAAGAAGCTGTAAAGCTTGGGGTAAATGGTATCCTGGTGTCAAATCATGGAGCACGACAGCTTGATGGAGTCCCTGCAACTGTAAGTACTGGTGCCAGTATGCAACAAGTCCTCTCTGTCTTCGGCTTCTTGTTTTCTTCTGCTGAATACATGGTAGCTGGAGGAAAAAAACTGTAAATATATCTGTCTAATGCCTTAACCTATGAGCCCGTCTCCCTCTCTTTCCTTCTCTTTAGTATGTCACAGCATACTTTGAGTTAGAATCAGCCTCCGCTTTGTCAGATCAATTGAAAAATGCCTGGAGGGTTTACGTGTGACTTTCTTCAAGCTACCTGGGTACCCTTTCCTGGCTGCAGTAGCCAGCACTGGAATCCAGAGGAGCAATTTCAGATAGCATATTACTGGCAGTTACACTGTTAGAAATTAGGATTATTTTTCTTTTTTCTACTCTTGTCTTTTTTGTCTTCCTCATTCCTTTAGAAACCCTTTGTTGCAGTTTGTAGATCACCAAAGATTGCACTAAAGATGCTATCCCCTTTTAATATTCTCTGGAGACTTCTGAAAATTTAAGTTAACAGAACAGCTAAAGACAGAAGGAAACTCTCCCCTTTTCTCCTTTCAAACCTTTTCACCTTTCAAAAAGGTACAGGGTGGTTAAATTACATGTTTTTTCCTTCTTCCTTTTCCTTGCTATGCTACCCTGTACATCTTCCAAAGGTAAAAAGGAATTTGAGAAGTTCTCAATTGACAAAAATGAAAGAAGTAAAGGAATGTGAAAAAGGTTGTGTTCAGGCTGAAGGAAAACCCCCAAAATTCCAATCATCACTCATCATGCTTCATTTGGTGTGAGAAAGCTGCACAAGTAAAGAGAGAATGAATGGGAGGAGAATCAAAGCCCAGATATGACTGTTTCAGGATTCCTGATGTGCCCTTGATGAAAAACCTCCTGTTTTCCATGAGGATTTTCTGGAGGGAGGAGACAAGCCCTTTTCCATTGCAGAATGTTTTGTATGTGAAGTCTTAGCAGTTCAGCCCTGCAGGCCCACTAGTGTCCCCCCCTTCTTGCTCTGAAACATTTCTACTTTTCTCCTTGGGGGCAGCTGAGGATTTCCCCAGTTGATTTCATTCACCAGCTGATCCTTCAGAGGTCTTCACGTGGACCCATTGATTACCTGCCTTTTCAGAGGGTGGGTGCCTAATGCTTAATAAATTTATCTTCTTTAACTTCTGTCTTCTTGTCACCTTTTAAGAATGTATGCCTCAGTTTTACCGAGCGTATTGGAAAAATCTTGGGCAAGTCTGTGTGAGGTAACCCAACAGGAAGAATGTATGAGGATATTGAAAAAAAAAAATTGAAAAATGAGAACTCAAGAAACAGAATTATTATTTTTTGCCAAGTAGAACAAATTAAAATTGTGAACTACTTGTTTTGAGTTATTCCTTTGCAACACTGTTCACTGTGCAGATGAGAAAGCACTATCAAAGCTGGCATGTTCACTGGAATTCATCTTACAAAGGACTATTTCACAATGCAGTTTTCATAATGTAAATATCTGTATTGGAATACGCAAAGTGTTTCTGGTTTTGAAACAATTTCATGGTTTTCCAGAATGTGAGCTGAACCCGAGCTGGTTAATATTTCTAGTGTCTAGTTACACATTGAGGAAATCTATGTTTTAATTATTGTTTGCATCATACTTTAGTTATTATAGCACTTTAATGTTGGTACAGTTTGTCAGGATGTAGAAAGTGGTCTCTGTGTATGGAAATAGATCCAAAATATGTTTGGCAAGAGAGCAAAACCAAAGGGAGGGGAAAAAATCACAGCAAGTGCCAAACTTCAAGAAAATTTTAATCCAAATCTAAAAACAAACTGTACTTTCACGTTTTTTCCCTCATCTCCTGGTCATTTTTTATCCATTAGAAAGGAAATGAATTGCATCCGTATTTGAAAGACATGAATTTGTATGCCTTTTGTCTTACTACCACACACTGTTTCCAGTCTCCTTAGTACTTGGCTTCCAGTTCTGTGTCTTTCCTGATATTCATGAAAAGGAACTATTGAGGCATTATAGGAACAGTTGCTATGTAATGCTTGAGCCTTGCATTCAGGAGGTTCATCTCTTCCTGGGACTTCTTGCATGGTGTTGACGTGTTAGTAAATTCCCTGGTTACTTGTCTGTACCTTGGGAACACTAAGCATTCTTTTCCCCCTTACCTTTACCAATGGTGTAGGGAGTAAGGGGAAATTGGTAAAAGCAATATACATAGTAGAAGAAAATAGTAGATATAGTAGAATAATAGTAGAAGAAAACATTTTCCATCTTGCTCAAAATTCAGAGAATGCTAGATTTTCCTTATATTAAGAAGCTCCTTCTACAACTATTCCTGTAATCAAGATGCATTTTCAAATGGAAAAACACATTCTTTGTTTTTTCTGTCAACTCTAAGAACAAGTTCCTCATGACACATCTCTTACTCAGTGTCTTTATGTACTATGCCCACTTTTGTGTTCCTTGGTGCTAGCTGGCACTCATTAAAATTAATGATGACTTCAAGGAAGAAAGTGAAGATGGTTATTTAAAAAGCCAGTGATTCAATTTTATCCCCAGCCTACTGAACACTGAAGGTTTGGGGAGGGCAATATCAAGGAGCAGACCTCATCTGTGCCTGGTATTTCTTAAATTCTTCACAAGTATTTCAGACTGGCTTGTGTTGGATACATGTGATAGGATTAGATGGACATTTTATGTGATCCTGCTGATTCTCATTTTATTTATCTGACTGTCCAAGTAAATTTGACCTTTTTGTGTATCCGCTAACATTCTAAGTCAATTCTGTTTTTGAACACAAAGCTGTATTACTAGTGCATACAATTAAGCAAGCAATTACTCATTTAGCTTTTTTAAGCTTGAATTCAAAAAATAAATTGTGCTGCAGAAGTGGACGAGCTGTATTCCTGGTTTCACTCTTCTAGATTGATGTCTTGCCTGAAATCGTTGAGGCTGTGGAGGGGAAGGTAGAGGTGTTCCTAGACGGTGGTGTAAGAAAAGGCACCGATGTTCTCAAAGCGTTAGCCCTGGGTGCCAAAGCTGTATTCATCGGAAGGCCTCTCGTCTGGGGCTTGGTTTATCAAGTAAGTCACAAAAATCTCAAACTTATGTTTTTAGATACCTAGACTAGCTGTTCAGGCTTAGTGTATGTGCACGTGTCTATGTGTGCCTGTAGGGGTGTGTGTGAGAGAGGGTTTCTGAATGCATGTGGTTATCCAGATCTTTATAATAATCTAAAACTTTCTATCAAATCCTTAAGAGTCAGGGTTGTCCATGAAATGTTCTTTATATGTTATCTGTATCTACACACGAGCTACATGTACATATAATAGTGCACGTTGTTTCCTAATTGCCTAGGGTGAAGAAGGAGCAAAAGAAGTTCTCCAGATGCTGAAGGAAGAGTTTCGCCTGGCAATGGCCCTGACAGGTGAGACTTGTTTCCTCTCAGTAACAACCACCTCTGTCTCTCGTTTCCTCAGAGCTTTCACTTGCCCTGTGCAAGGTGCTATAGTAACCTACAGAAGGGAGATAGAAATGTAGTATAAACAGATTAAGCTGCAGAGAGATGAGAAAAGAGACTGCTGTTAACCCTGTCCTATACATGGGGAACTGAGTAGATTAAAGTAAAAACAAGTATAAATGTTTTTGACAAGGAAAGTGATAAATCCATAGAAAAGTAGTGGCAAAAAAAAGTCACTAGGGGGTGGTTTTTGTTTGATGATGCAGATAGAAATGCGATAGGAAAAAAAAAGAAAAGCTTAGAATGGGATAGAAAAGTGAGGCTTTTGACCAATATGTAACTTGTCCTCTAGGATGCCGCAGTATAGAAGAAATTAGCAGGACGCTGATACGAAGACATGACGTATTGCTTTCCAAGATTTAGGTCTGAAGGTGACCATCTTGCCTGTTGTACAGAAAGTATGCCACCAAATAAAAAGCAACTGTTTGCTCTTTGGGCCTCAAGCTGCAGTCCTGACTGAGAAGGGGTCATTTGTAAGACATCACTTGCCGAAGAAAGTACATGAAGCAAATTTTACAGGTGTTTCTGTATTCTGCTAGGCTCCTATGGAAAGCTGCTCTGCTGGTAGTTGTGACTAGAAATCAGTCTTTATACAAGATCGGCACAAAAGCTACAAGGTGTTTCTGCAACAAATGTTAATACTAACTTACAAACCTCCAATAATTTTTGTTAAAATGAAACTATAAACAGAAATGTTCTGATGGCAAACAGCTGCTAGAATATAGACATTTAAAATGTAAAAGATATTTCTTGCTCACTGTTTAGAGAGACTACGCTGTAGATCAAAGAGTAAATTTTGCTTTATGAACAATGCCTTTTCCCTAGCAACTACGTGCTATTCCTTTTTAAGCATGTGGGTTTGTATGATGTAGAAGCTCAGAGGACTAGTAGTTGTAAAGAGCTGAACAGCAAAGCAAAACTGGGGAAGTTCTGTTCTCTGACACAAAGCCCGTTGCAATCAGACATCCACTATGCTTGTGTGTCAGATGTGCATCAGATTCCAGGTGTGTGCAAATCCTTGCAGTCCTAATACCTTTTCCAAACTATGCTGACAACACCCAGCTTGAGCCATAATTCATGATTTCTACCTGGACTCATTTACTGACAGCTTTTTAGATTATTAATTGGTTAAGCCTGTGGTGTCCTGCATCACTACTGCATAGAATTGATAGGTAGAGGCTGGCTATAGACCCCAACAGACATATTGAAAAGTTCCTTCTCACTTTCCATGGACAGAGAAACTCAGTTGCCAGCAGGTCACTATTCCTGTGTTATGACTGTAAATATAACTGAGTTTGATCCATCCCTTTCCATCCTCTCTCTGTTTTTCATAAAGATGGGAGAGTTTGTAGGATTTGCAGTCATGTGTAGAAGAAACTTGGATAATCGAGGTATTAACCCAAGATCTTAGTGGGAAGATCCTAGTGGCTCCATTCAGTTTCCATGAACACCCTTTATAGAAAGCTGAGCATTATTCACTTTATGAGGAGGATCAGATAAATACAGGACATGCTTCTCTTCTTGGAACAGTCCAAATACCTACTGAATACAGGAGAAAGAACATAGGAATATCTTCATATGGCAACCTGTCCCAGAGTGAGCAAAGAAGGTAAGACTCTATGAAACTCATCTTCAGTGAAATTAAGAGTGGCTCTTCATCTGTCACACTCTTGTTGCAGGTATGGCAATATTACTGGAAGCCGGGAGATAGGCCAAAGCAGAATGGTTTTGAAAATCATGTTCTGGAAATAGAGTGTTCATTTTTAAGGAGGATTAAAAAAAAAAAAAAGTGCCTTTATTTCATTGTTCCAGAGTCACCGACATCACCGTCTCCACCATTTGTTTTCCATCAGTGTCAGAAGAACTCATGCATTCTGATTCTCCCTTTTTGCTCTGTTTGAAATATCCCATACTGAGCTTTAGAGGCAGCATTGTAATAAAATGATGGAATATTACGATGTGAACTTAAGCTGGGACTGGAACTCAAATCGGGGAGAAAACCCAAAAGGCCACATGCTTGCCCTTCAGTTGTAAAATTTGTACTCTTATTTACTGCAGAATGTAGTGTGTTGTGTGAGGGTTGCGTAGCAACAAAATAAAGTTTATCTGTGTAGAGAAATATGAATGTTTCTCAGAGCATAGAGAAGCATAATTTCTACTGTTTACTGCACTTATCATATCTGTTGCAATGTGGACTGTGTCAGATGTCAATTACAGACTAACTTCAGAAAGACTGTTTATTTTAGATAATATAAATGTTACTTAAAAGAGAGGGGCATAATATCTTCTGTTTACATGTTTAAGATCCATTTCTAAAGTTCAGAAGATGCAGTTTCCTGTCTTTGCCCCAACCACATTCAAGAAAAGTTCTGTAACTCTGTGGTCCAGGATAAATTCTGATGGTGAGGAAACTGGGTTTGTTACTTGTGCGTAATTAACTATTTCTAGTTCCTTTGGGATAACAAGCTTATTTTTTTTCCTGCTTGTTATCTGAGAATTGTCTGTCTGCCTTCCAGTTCAACCCTAGTAAGAATATACATACATTAAAAATCAAAATTAGAGCCAAATACTGAAAGGCTGTGAGACACAGCTAACAGACATCAAAGTGATTTGCTTGGTAGAAAAGAATTCAAGAGAATTTTCCTAGATTTGGAGACATCCAAATACAACTGCTTCTGGAAATGATTAACAAAAGGCAGTTAATCTTTTTGGTTTTGACTTCAGGATAGAAAGCAGGAAGACCAATGATAGCCTCCTCAGACAATTTAAATGCTGAAAAATGTCCAGTCAAAGCAAAACTCTACTTTACAGTTCCTCCACCTGGAGCTGAGAAGAAATCATATCACACCTATCAGAGTAGTGGAAGATATTTCTAGAGTTTGTGAGGGTGTTTCTGAAGAAAATACAAGCAAATAACTAAAGAAAATAATAGATACTTGTGGGATATGTTAAAGAAAAAATAGATTATTTTCCTATGAAGTAACAAGCTCTTGGGAACAAGTCACAGCCCTCCAATCAAGGCACAGAAGAAGGGCAGAAACAGAAAGTGTTTTGCATTTCTGATGCTTTAGTATCCTGATGGTTTTAATTGTAAAATTATTTTCTGAATTTACCTTTGCTCTAAGTTAAGCCACAGATACCAAAGGAAAATGTCTGCATATAAAAAAAAAATATGTAGCATTGTGTATTATGTATCCAGTGAGAGAGGGTCATTGAATCATATTTACCTACCCAGAAAGCCAGCAGTCAACTGATGTGCTGGGTGCTTTAAAAAAAAACAAACACACCACCACCAACAAAAAACAGTCCATCTGGGAGGCTGGTAACTGAACTGAATGGGGTTTCCTAACCACCTTTGAAGTAGACCTGTAATATTCCCTGAAATAGAAGATTACAGCTCTTATTGAGAGAAGATTTATTCAGTGTTTTGCGGAGAGGAAAGATCCAAAATCAACACCTGAGAGTGTGAGAGATGAGGAAGATCCTAGACTTCTGAGGAGAAAAGGGGTATCTCCCAAGACCAGAAGATGTGAGGTAGGGTTTTACATTACTGATTTTTTTTTAATCCAGCCCTTGTGTAGATTTCACTGGTGATGTCAGCTTGGAAGACTGTTTCTGGAAGTGTTCCCACAAAGTTATCTCCTTGGCGTCCATGAGCTCGTAGAGGACTAAACCCACCAGAGAGAATACAGAAGAGCACAGTGCTCTAGAGAGGATATGTAGAAACAACTGGGGAGATGCTGAGAGGCTTCAGCTCTTGTCTGGAATCGCAACAGGTTAGCCCATTTTCTAGCAATTACTACCAAAGACAGTCTGTGTCAAAGCAACGAGGTCAGTGAAAGAGCCTGTGACGTTGTCTGGACGTCTCGCAGAGCACATCAAAGCTGGACATGCAAGGAGCAGGACCCTCCTCGGAAAAAAACAACATGCTTCTGTGAAAGATCTTGAGCAGCAACACACAGGTGGTCTGTGCCTGGAGGACAGGTTTGGCTGTTTTGGGAATGTACTTGCCAGGAGAGATGGACAGTTACATACAGCAGAGGAGAGTGCTGAAGTGTGGAAGTGCAGGGCTGTAGGCATGGCAGTCTGTTAGGCAGAAGGTGGCAGGAGTCAGCTGAGGCTTGTGAGACCATCTGACCTTTCAGATATGAAGTGAAGGAGGAAGTTAGTGTAGCTTTGGGATAGATCTTACACCCTCACTCAGCCCAAGAGTTCTTTGAAGCAGAGGCCTGCTGTTTTTTGAATGTTTGGAGCCTGCGCACGGGGTGGGGAATCCAGTAAGTAAATAATAGGAGTCATAATTCAGTTCACTGAAGCTGAAGAGCTGTGAAAGACATGATCTGTTTTCTTGTGACCTCCACCTCTTGCTGTAACTCTGGGACACATTATTGTATTTTGCTTTTTACTGGTGGCCAAGTCAAACAAATAGCTCTGGAACTGGTAAGAACTCCACCTCCATCCCCAATTTTTCAGGTTAGGCAAGAAACTTGCCTGTCTTACAGAGAATTTCTGAACATAAATAAACAGACACTTAGAGTAACTCGGTTTGATAAATGGGCAGTGTAGGTCAGGGCCTGTTGGATATGCAGGCAACTCAAAGATGAAGCAGAGCTGGGGAAGTAAGCAGGAATGGCTCTGCTTTTCTTGGCCCCTCAAATGGTTTTCAGGCTGAAATCAAATACTGAGAGCACGAGGAAAGCTGCCTTCTGAAGTCATGATTTTGCACTGAACCTCACTGTAAGGATATCTCTTATAAAGCTACTTTTGATGTGGAAATTTGGCTCCCAACCACACTGAAGGCCATTATAAATAACCACTTCATCACGGGACACACAGAAGTTGGCTTCCTTGAACAATCCTAGAAAGCAAGCCTAATGTTATTGAGCCATAACCTCAGCTAGTGTAAATCAGAGAAGCTCCATTGACTTCATTAGCTCACACTGATTTACACCATCTGTGACTGTGGCCCACAATACAGCAAGATATGTCAGCTTTTAAATTCTATCGCTGAGTGTTGAGCAAAACTGTTTTTAAAACAAGATTGCCAATCCCAAATTTAGATACTAATGAGACACAGCACTGTAATTGTTCCACGATGTCTATATGCTCCATTTTGTTTTCATTTTGCCTTGCTTCTGTTTTTCTTATCTCCTGCCAAACAGAGGGAGAGTACCACATATGTTACATTCATAACAAAGATGTTTTGCTTCTTTGAGAACATGTCCTCCAGATGCAAAATGCCTTTGTGCTGGAGTTCAGCTTCTTTCTTTGCATAGGTATGTTGGTTGTGTGTCAATATAAGAATGCCCTTGAGGACCAGCCCCATGTTTCTCCAGGCCCTGGAGTTCTCAAAGGGGCACCCAGAGGCTGTCCCTGCTGGACTTCAAAGGTCTGATTTCCCCTCAGGGATTTCCAGCTCCTAAGTCATTGTTTCAAATGGACAGGAATGCCCTGAGACCATCAATCCATCTCTGTAACAATTCTGCTGGGTGCTCATGGAGTTAACTCTATTGAGTAACCAATTGCACTTGCGGCACCTTTATGGTATGCAATGCTGGTAGATACATACAGATGGCTTGTTCGGGCAGGGAAAACATTCATATAACTAGATTGACAATGATTAATATTTGTTATTATTTTGTGACAACAGCAGCTGCAAGTTCTAGTCAAGGTCAAGACAGTATTGCTCACTGCAAAGATGCTTTGCTGCCAGCAGCAGTCTCTACCCAGTAGAATCTGAAGTATAAATTGATAGGCATGGGAAATCTTTAAGAACAGCCACTACGACATCAAAGGAAAGTGCAAGAATCCTACAATAAGCCCATGTGGCAGAAAATTAGTTTTTATACACATTCAGGGTGTGGATTGTACACTCTTCTAATCGGTATGGCTAGTTCAGTGTGTTATTTTTATCGGACCCAGAAATCTAGCATAGATGTGAGATAAGCAATCTTCATAACAACTGAGATCTGAATCACAGAATCATCTAGGTTGGAAGAGACTTCCATGATCACCAAGTCCAACCTCTGACCTAACACTTGCAAGTCCTCCACTAAACTAAATCACTGAGCTCTACACCTAAATGTCTTTTAAAGACCTCCAGGGATGGTGACTCAACCACTTCCCTGGGCAGCCCATCCCAATGCCTCACAACCCTCTCAGTAAAGAGTTCTTCCTAAGATCCAACCTAAACCTCCCCTGGCACAACTTTAGCCCATTCCCCCTCATCCTGCCACTAGGCACGTGGGAGAACAGACCAACCCCCACCTCGCTACAGCCTCCTTTAAGGTATCTGTAGAGAGCAACAAGGTCGCCCCTGAGCCTCCTTTTCTCCAGGCTGAACAAGCCCAGCTCCCTCAGCCGCTCCTCGCAGGACTTGTTCTCCAGGCCCCTCACCAGCTTCGTCGCCCTTCTTTGGACCCGCTCAAGCACCTCGATGTCCTTCTTGTAGCGAGGGGCCCAAAACTGAACACAGTACTCAAGGTGCGGCCTCACCAGAGCCGAGTACAGGGGGACGATCACCTCCCTAGCCCTGCTGGTCACACTGTTTCTGATACAAGCCAGGATGCCGTTGGCCTTCTTGGCCACCTGAGCACACTGCTGGCTCATATTCAGCCGACTGTCCACCATCACTCCCAGGTCCTTCTCTGCCTGGCAGCTCTCCAACCACTCATCTCCCAGCCTGTAGCTCTGCTGGGGGTTATTGCGCCCCAGGTGCAGGACCCAGCACTTGGCCTTGTTAAACTTCATGCAGTTGACCTCAGCCCATCATTCTGATTAGAGAAGGAAATTTGACCAGCAGGACTATCTATCGTACCCAACCTTTCTTCTGAGTCTGTAGACTAAGTAGGGTCTCTATTGTAAGTTTAATACAAGGTGTCATTGACTCCAGATGTACACGTCTGCTGCCACCGGGTAGCTAAGAGTAGCAAAAAATACTGAATTTAGGGTAAGTCATCTCCCTTTGACAAGCATAAGTATCCATTCAGGAAAATGGAAAAACTTTTTTTTTTTTTTTTTAAATAGAAAAGTGCCCTTCATATATTCTTTAAAAAAGTTACAATCAGAAAAAATTATATTAGGAAAAGAGAACTTGGTCACAGTCTTAGGAAAACACAACAAAATATATCTGCAAATAAAGAATAAGAGCTGGCAACAACCCACCGCATTTCCTTCCTGCCTACTGGCAAGTATATTCCACAGCTTCTAATCCATGACTGTAGGTTCAGGGTGCCAGCAGTGCTTGATCCAGCTCTGCTTTGTTGCAGCATTGCATCTTGCTGCATCCTGCCTACTGCCGCCATTTCCAGCTTTTGCTGCAAAGTCCTGAGGTTTGATCTCACAAGAAAGTTGGAATAAGAGACATGTCTGGGACCTTTGGGCAGAGCCTTTGCCATTTGCAAATACTTCCAAACAACGTGTGGACACGTGGGTGGTGGTGAAGGGCATTTGGCCAGAAGGTAAGAGTTCCTTTCATTTTTCAAGAACCCCTTAGCATACCCAGTACTGAAGTTGAAGTCTTGTTATAGTGGTTTCCCAGATGGGACAAGGGAATCTGAAAAGATGGCAATTTGGCATGAGCTACAGGTTGCGTGCAGTGCTTCAGCAGCACTTTGTGTCAGTAGAGAGAGCATGGAGCACATTGTCATGGCAGAGGATCCCAGTTTCCAGGCTGCATGCTGCCTAAAGAATTTAAAAACAAGGCTGGCAAAGACCTTAAAGTACTGTTGTCTACGTTGTTATCCACTCAGTGGTGTTGTTCTGTGGCCAGAGAGGTTAGGGATTGCTGCTCCAGAAGTTCTGCTGTAAGGGTCATGCATTTGGGTAAATAAAGAAGCCCCCTACCATTACAACATTTGTTCCACTTCATCTGTTTAGATGCTGATGCTATCTTTGTCTAAAATGTTTAGGACCAAATCTTGAACTAGGATAGCTCTGTTGCAATCTGTGGAGTTGTACTGATCTCTGTCAGCTGAGAATCTGAACCTACGGGCTCCTCTCTCTATCCTCCCAAGAGACAAAGTTTTTACCCATTTAAATGAAAGTTTTGTGTGCACCCTACCAGGCCCATAGTATTTGAATTTGTGATATTTGCAGTTATGCAAGGTTTTCAAATGTCACTTTTTATTGGGAATTTTGAGACAACAGCTGGAGGAAAGCAGCAGGTTCTGTGCTGAGACCATAATGATTGTTAGCTTGGCAAGACTTGTACAGTTATCTTCTGAACGCTGCCAATGCTTCCCAACCAAAGTTGTCCTATTACACAGCCAATATTGAATATCAGAGCTTGCTCTTGTGTGAATGGAAGAGCAAACAGCCCTGGCAAATGACATACATACTGAAATGAATGAACGAGTGCTTCATGACTTCTTCGCTCTTTATGCTGTCTATCCATAAACTGTACCTTACCTGGATTTTCCACCTCCCAACCTCCTCATTTTATGTTCACTGTTAACCTGGAAGTCTGCTACAGCTGTGCAGCAGGCCTAAAAGAGATCTCTGACAGTCCTAGCCACAGCTTATTTTCTGGCTACACAGTGGTGCCAGAGAAACTCTTAAGACCTCACGGTGCATCATTAACAGTGTCTTCTCATGTTAGTCTATGGATAGTCACTCACAAATAGTTATGCGAAGGTTCATAACTGCTGCGTAACAGACTGCAAAACCACACATGACCTAAATAATTTACTGGCATGCTAATGAACAGTAAACCCAGACAGTTTAACCATCTGCAAGCTCTGCTTTTTATCAGTTTCAAGTGTGTTGGATTTGGGTGTTGTCATCCTCCGACATAAATATATGCTTTTGATCTATCACAGAAAGGCCTTTTTACCATAAAGATAAGTATTCCTTTTGATTCTCAATCCTTTTTCCATTATTGCTCTGATATGGATGGGAGTTATATTGTCAGTTATTATAGAAGACATAGAGAGCATTCAAAGAACAAGGAACTGTAGGGTATATCCAGCCCACAAACCTATTTATTAAGTTGTGTTGCTGCTTACTGGTATGATTGAAAATTGTTGGCCCTACATGATGAACAAAGATTTTGGCTGCAATTTCAAGTGTGTGTTGCTGCTGTGGTCTATAGAGCTACAATCGTAGCACAGTCATGGAAAAAGTCTCCGTTCTGACTGAATCTTCCTTGTGATGCACTAGATAATTTACCTTGGAGGATTTTTCTTCTCTCTGCCAGAAGCTTTTTAGTTATGAATAAAGGAAAAATAATATGTATTCAGATACATAGCTGTATGGCTCTCCATGTATTAATGTATCTCAAGCTTTGTTGTTTTGGATGGTTAGAAAATCGCAGACTGACATTTTCTAGAGAATTCATAAGTTTTTTAAAAGCATAATGTTTTTTATAATTTTAAATAGTTTTATTTATTTATTTATTTATTTCCACAGGAGACAGCCATACTAAATAGTATTCTTTTCTTCACTGCTTTTTCAGTCCCACCTTTGTGCTGCCTTGAGAAAATGGCTACAGAAGAAATTCTGCTCGCTTATGCAGTTCCAGACACTTGCATTGCCCCAACAAGAAGCTTTTAAGCAGAATGGCAGCATGTAAACAGCTGAAGAAATGGGGTCATCAGCCTAGAAATAACTTTGGATTTTTGGATATATAGTGATTTTCTGCAAGAAAGCAACCACCATGTAACTTTATGGGGCATTTGGTGTCAAAAGCAGCAGTTCCCGATGTATTTGTGTCAGTGCAAATAAAAGTGTACATTGATGATTATTGAGAGGGTTGAGAGAGGATTGGATCTTGGTTTGGAAGTAACAGGGAGATAGTTTTGAGGCTCTTTCATCTCAAAGTAAAGACATACAGGATCCAGTGGCTGGAAGCTGGAGGTATGAAAAACAAAGTACGGGATTTATTTTAGCAGCAAGGGTTATTAGTGTTGGAATGTTCCCAAGGGATGTGGTAAATTGTCCATCCTTTGTAGTATTTAAATGAAAAATAAATGTGTTTCTAGAAGATATGCTCTATTTTGGCCACAAATTGTTGGAGAATTGTTGAGTGAAACACTGAGTTTTTCATGGTGGAAATCAAATTAGATGATTACAACACCTCTAAAACCTACCAAGACTGTCATTTCCTTTCGATTTTGTTGTTGTTGGTGGTGGTGGTGTTTTTTTTTCTCTCTTATTTATGGCGGAATTGGTGTGAGACAGGGAAGATAGATAAGTTTGCATGACTTCAGCTACAAAGGAGTGTACCTGATCATGAATGGTGCTGAGCCTCTTTATCAGAAAAACACTATGACCATTGGGATTTAGGATTTTTAAGCCTCCAAGATCCAGTGATGCTTTGGATAAGCTCCTCCTCTGGGTCCATCAATACCGCCTTTTTAGCTGGGTTAGTACCTTGTTTAATGAGACTCAAACAGGATCTGCACTGTTTTCTTGCTTTTCTGCTTTTGACTTTGCTGGTGTGGGTACATCAGATACCTTGTTGCCTCACTGACCCATAGTAGGTTTGAGAGCATAATTCTAGGCTTTGTATGAAGGGAACATTTGTAAAGCAGCAGTCTCATGCTAATCTGCAGAGGAAAAGCACGTATGACAGGCGGTGGGGATTCCATTTCTCGGGATCCAGAGTTTAAGACAGGCTTAAAGGAGTCTTATTAAAAGTGTTTTCCAGTGCATGTGGCTCCTTCTGACAGCACCCAGGTGGTTCAGAAACCAGTATTAAGAATAAAAGCTGTTTCTCTTTTCTGTACAACAAATGGTTCAAGTGTCTGGTATTTGATTCAGAAAGGAAACCTGCAGCAGTCATGTCCCCTGAAATAAACCAACCAACATTTTGAGCTGCCAACACTTCTGTCTATTACGTCAAGGCATCACAAAGTTTAAAGCATAGCAAAGTAATATATATATATATGTTTTTCTGTAATCCCAGGGTAAATATTAGGTAGACAGTATTTCTGCTTTGTGCATTAAAAACCCGACTGAATTTGAAAAGCCTGCAAGTGCACTTTGGGGATTTTGGAAAGTGTCATTTGGCCATGAGCTAAGACCAGAAGCTGCCATTTTGCAGATGGGGCAGGAGGGAAAGGCGTTTGGCCTCATTCATAACTTCACAGCTACTGCAAATATCAGCTGATGAATATTTATGTTATGCCTGGCAGAGGCTCGAAAGGCAAACGGGGGGAGGAGCAGAGGGGGAAGCTTAAGTTAGGAAAATGGTCGTCTGAACTCTGTGGGATTTCTTTACCAACACTTTCCATGCTTGAACAGTAGCTGCTGAATGAAATCATTATGCACTGAGCCCCTGCGCAGGAAAACAAAGTTTGTCAAGACTCTGTTCGTTAGCACCTCGTACTTTGTTTGAACCTTGGACATTTGCTGGACTCTGTAAATGGAAACTTTTTTTTTTTTTTTTTTCTCAAATCAAACACACTGTAGAGCTAGCCTGTTTTCTTTTGTTTAGTCATTGCTACAATGGTGATGGTGCTAATGGTAAAACAGTGTCTCATCATTGGAACAAGAGGGGTCAGACAGAACATGAAGTGCTGCAGAGTGGTGAGGGTACTGAGGAGGTCCTGCTGCAAGACCAACTGAGATAGCAAATATGGAAAGGATTAAATTAGGTGTCGTTATTGAACATACCTGTAGCCTTTAACTGTGTTCAGCTGTGTCTGTTGGTGTCTGTAGGCTCATCTCCCTTGCCAGGAACCCACTTGAAACTGGATCTGTCCTTCAAGTTGCTGCACAGCTATTGATAAGAAGAGAAGTAGAAATTGAATGATCTGGGCATAGAGCTGAGAGATAACAGAAGCCAGAGATGCTTTCCTCTATACTGTGCTAAATTTAGAAACAGCACATATATTGTGTTGCATTTAACTGCTGTGGGCAATAAACGTTGGGTTAAAATGAAAGTCATATTGTTTTTCACAATATTTTTTTTTCTACAATAATTCCTTCATGTGTTGGCAGTCTCCAATGTTACTGCATTAGTCAGTACAACACCCAAATTTTAAGGAAGCAAAGCAAGTGAGTGCCCTTCTCCTGTCAGATATGCCATAATTCGAAAGTAAGGTATTTCTTCCTATTTGTATTAAGATTATTTCAAGCCAGCCATTGAGGAAAAAAATCCAAATCTCTTCCCTCTGCCTTCACCAGGCTGTAAATTAACAGCAAGGAGCAGCTTTGAATAAAGCTCATGAACATGACTTCACTGTTTGGATGAATCAAGCCCAGGAAGGAAACTGGCTGAAATAAGTGACTGCTGAAAATCAGGTAGGGTTTCCTAAACAGCCGGTCGGCTGCGGGTGGCCAGGCTGAGCACCTTCAGAGGACTGCAGGTCGGAAAGCAGTGATGTGGGACTGCATGAAATGCAGTCTTTAAAGGCAGGCAGCTTGAGTTAGGTACATAGAAAATACAGAGGTGTCCAGAATGAACCAGTCACTACAAGAAATTATTCCCCAAGGGCTCTGCAAAATTTATTAGGCCCTGCTCTATAGGAGTAGGGAAAAGCCTAGATTTTGTCCATTACACTTCTTCAGAGAAAGAGCCTGCAGTTAAATTCCTGAAGTCCGAATTATTCGCTGTCTGGGAGGTGGCTTTTTACTGAGATGACTTATTCAGAGGTATTTCACTTAAGAAGGAAATTATTTATGAAAAATCCATGCACAGGAGGTAGCAGCGCCTTCACACCCCTAGAAAACCACCTGCGAGGCTGCTGTGCTCCTTCCCGCCCTGCAGGGAGATGCCTCTGGGTCCAGCGTCCCGAAACCAGCAGATGGTGCTGCAATACACCAAGTGTGAACTCTCTGGAAGGAGAAAACTTTTAGCGCTGGTGTGCTGGGGCTGCCCCCGGCCCCGCTGAGGCAAACCGGCTGCCGGGGCAGCTCCGTGTGCTGGCAAACGCCGAGGGGGCAGCTCTGCGTCTCCCAGCCTGGAGGAGAGAAATCCCAGCGCACCCACAACGCTGACCCCATTATATGCTCCCCACAAACACCTCAAGTGGTTTCCAGCCCCGGGGTCCCTTTCGGTTTGACTTTTCCTCACAAGGCAGAGCAGCAGTGGGGTGGGGGGCGGCTGGCAGGGGCAAGGTGTGCAATGCTCACAGGTAGCTGGTGGGGAAGGCTGCCACCCCCTGGGGGATCACCCTGCTTGGGATTTGCCCTGGCAAGGGGTTTGGCTGGCAGCACGGGGTTGGGTTTGGTGGGTGCCCCTCAGAGAGGGCAGCCTGGCCCCAGCTCACCTCCTTAATGGCGAGCTCCGGGTAATGGCGGTGGCTTCGTGCCTGCGGCTTGGGGCAGAGGTGAGTCCTGACCGGAGTGCTTAGGGTGCTTTTCCTCGTAAATATATATAAAAAAAAAAAAAATAACAACAAACTAAGAAAGAAATTATGATGTTGTGCCCAGCACTGCATCTCTGCTGCCAGGCTGGCCCACAGCCTGCCCCTCTTCCCCCTGCCCCGGAACCCTCTGGCACCTTCCAGAACCTTCGGGGAACGCTGAGGAGATTCCGCGCTCCCTGGCAGCGGGGGCTGCAGCAGTGCTAAAAACTGAGGGAAAATGCCCCAAAAAAGGGGCAGCAGAGGAACGAGAAGAGTTCTAGTGAACAGTAGAAGTGCACACATGACGCTGTGAGCAGGTAAGGCCCTCTGTAAAGCACGGCGGTGTTAACTGGAGGTGGCATGGATGGGGTGCGTTGTCGTTCCTCCCCTGTGGAGAATCCTCAAAACATTTGCCATTTATTTCTGAGGTTGTCCCTGCCTGCCAGCCCAGTGCCTGGCATCTCGCTGCCATGAGGAGAAGTGGCCGAGGAGCTGCTTCACAGGCGGGCGGCAGCAGGGACAGGGAGAAATATGCTCGGGGAGGGACCCGACAAGGCCGTGCAGCTGTTTTTGTTATACCACCAAGCTGTAAAGCTGAAAAATGATTTGAAAAGCAAGAGATGTGCCGGGAATACTGGCGCGTCCTGCTTATGGGCGCTTGGGGCATTCTGTGTAAATTGAACGTTTTCCCCCCACCCCACCCCCCCCTTTTTTTTTTGGATGGCTTAATATCGTGGAAGGGAAGAGCATCAACATGCTTGGAGTGCAGAGCCTCTTCCCTGATCCCTCTGGCACAGGACTGCACCAGAGTGAGCTGAGGACAGAGGCTGCTCCCTGTCTTTTCATTGCTTTAACCCAAAGCTCGACGGTTACTTCAGTGCAGAGGTTGCATATGAGAAGGCCCTTAGAGACCTTTTTTTATGAAAACATCAAATAAAGACAAAATCAGCCAGGACGAGGATAACTTGTGTAACCCGACAGCAGAGGAGGGAGCTGGCACAGACAGGAGGGGCCCTGCAGGAGATGGAGCCATGTGCAGGGGGGACACCGGGCCCCTGGGCTCTGCCCCTGTATTTATTTGTGTGCTGGTGCTCTGCAGACGGTCACAGAGCCCAGCAGCAAGGCTACCTGCTGCCCCTTTGCAAGTAAATAACAATGTGCAACCTTCTTTTTTTCACTGCAAGATCATTTGGTAATTGTGAGTTGAGTGTATGTGGAGATAACCCTTTTTATTTATTATTTTGTTTTATTTTTTCGGTCTGCTTGGAAGCCTGCTTCGAAGGTGACCCATTTGTTTCCAGCCAAAGGCACCAAGGAAAGCCTGCCCCCTGAGAGGAATTACTCATTTTAGTGAGGGAAAAGGGATGGAAAGACAATCATTTTGTCTTGTGGCTAGTGCAATATGTGACTCAAAGCGTTAAGCAAGAGTACAGTCATGATAGACTCTTCCTCGCATCTTGAATTAAACGTGAGAGGTGTCAGGTTGAGATGTGAAGTAATTCCCCTGAAGCCAGGTTGCTCTGGCTGTATATCCAAAGCATCTGGAGTTGGAAGTTAGTCTGTAACCCAGAGAAAATGGAACCATTTAACAGGCTTATTTCTATTGCAAACACAAAAATTTGAAAGCCTTTGTTGTAGTCTGTATGTTTTGATTTAGCAGATAGAAAGTGTATTTCATGCAAGAATGCAAGAGGGTGCTGCGGAGGTGAAGCAGCCTCATGGTGTCAGGGTGTGCAGCTGCGCTGGAGGCTCCTTCTGTGGCTCAGGCAAAATTTGGGAACTATCCTCCTCATTCCTCATCTTGTCCTTCTTGCCAGGCTCTCCCCCGTCATTCTTGGATTTGTACAATGCAGTTTTGGACTTGATCTTGGTATGGGAAATGGGTGCCAACGTTCCTTTTGCAGGATAAGTATTGTGAGCTGTTTTTCCTGTCCTTCTCTAACGTGCCTGTCCATGCCCCTTCTCTAAGGGATTGAGGGGTTTTAATCAGAAGGCAAGGATGGATCTTTGCAGGGGCTCCTCATGTGTATGAGAGGGAATGTAGAGCTGAGCTCTGCGCAGAGGATGAGTAATTTGTTTCAGCTGGCACTTTTAGATTTCAGAATATGACTTTAGGCTGAGTATGAGGGACAATAAAAATAATTATTCTATAAAAATTGGAGAGTTACGGGAAATCCAGTAAGTCTCCCAGAAAACTGAAGTTTGTTTTGAGAAAATGTGAGGAGAAAAAGAGGAATTGGACTCTCTACCTTTGTGTTGAAATTAAAAAAAAAAAAAAAAGTTACTATAACTTTTATATATATTTTTTTTTCCTTTGGGAAATTTCAGTATAGAGAATTCTTTTGTTACCATGGGAATTTTATCTTCCTGTTCTGTACAACAGAAAACCTTGATTAAGCAGACTTGTTTCATTAGGATATTCTGCCATTTCATTAGAATATTTCTGCTGGGCAGCAATTGCCCGTGGGGTTTGCTGGGTACTTCTTGGGAAAAATGATGCTGTAGTCCCACTGTGCAGGGGCCTGTTACAGTGTGACCGTGGTGCTATCAATTGAGCACTGGAGAAGGATGTGCATTGAGAAAAGAAAATCCACTACCACTGTCATTAATGGCTCAAGTCTGTGTTCTTAGCAGTGACTTTGCTTGTCCCAGTCTGTACTGAGGCTCTGGTAGCAGTTTTACTGGTGGTACATACTGAGGTGGTTTTGCTCTTGGAACAGTCTGTGTGCACTTGGTTTCTCTCCCTCCTATGCAAAGACACGCTTATCTGGAATGATGGATCCCGGTACATTACATATAAATATATATATATATATAAACAGAGCAGCTGTTGCAAACACGTCCTGCACCATATATGTGTTTTCAAACCTACAGGTTGCTAGTATTGGTTCAAAAGAGGCAAGGAAAGTCACACTTAGAAAGAACGTGAGTTGCAGAAGTGTCTCTCTATGTCATTACTCTCTTCCCTAGCCTTACCTCTTCCTCCCCTCAAATCTCACATTTATGGTTTGGGGCTGTGAGCTTGAGCACAGGTCTACCTTCAGGTAGCACATGTGGAAGAAAGTGAAGCTTTAGGTAGACAAAAATTCTTTCTTTTTTTTTTTTTTTTTTTTCTTTTCTTTTTATGGAAGCCACTCACTGCAGGAAGTGTCTTTGAAGAATTCTGGCTAGGCCATCCTGCGTGTGGGAGAGCTGCCAGGAGGCTGAGCATCTCGGTGTGGGGTTAAAGGGACTGCGGGGTGAGTTGGGGCAAACTGAAGGTGAGCGAGCCGGTCTGTGAGCTAATGTCCTATAGAAAACAATGTTTTTCCTCCTGCCCAGAAATGCTTTGTGACTATTTACACACTTAATTCAGAGCCAGTCACAGGATGTAGCACACTCATGTGACTCCTGTTGCATTGTATTGCTCTAGATGATGTTTTTTTTTTTTTTAATGAACAATAATTTCCCAAAACATGTTGTCCTGTGTTTTGCAATAGGGTGGTAAAATACTGCTTTGTTTGTCAACTATGGGATATACTGTGGACAACAAACGATTTGTTGTCTAGCAGACAGGAATTTCACTTGTAAGAAATGCTCTTAATTTGGCTTTAAGAAATCTGCCTTCATTTTATTTATTTTATTTTTCCATGGAAGTCTTTTGAGAATAAGATGAATTTGGATCAACTCTCCCAAAGGTAGTGACAGTAAAAGGGTGGCATCTTAAGCCACAACAGATTTGACCATAATTTGTACAGCTGCTTTAAACATTTTTTTTTAGCTGTGACTTTATTTTTGACTTCAAAGAAAGTAATGCCTTGCTTTGGGTTGTGACATGCAGTTCTTGTCCCTGAAACTGGACAAAACCAAAATGGATAACTCAGGTCTGCTTTGGAAGGGTTTACAGTTTTCTTGTGGAGGTTGCTGAACTTTAGGAGATCATAATGTACGTCCCACCCAGGAAGGTGTCATGTGGTTTGAGGTTATATTTTCTACAGCTCTTCTCATGCTAGATTCATACTTAAATGGAAGCCCAGCAAGGCAAAAGCCAGGTGTTTAGGATGTGGCATTGGTGACTCAGTAGGTGGTACATTTCCTTCTCCATCAACATTAAACAAGTGCCCTTGTGTGGTAACAGGGATGGGTTGTTTCTTGGCTGACATGAAAAAAAAAAGCAAGGTCAGTACCAAGACTCTGGGAATTGTACAGGAAGGTCTTCTGTTCTCTGCAGTGGTTGGGAAATTATTCTCAAGATCACTTAAACTGAACAACCAGCACCTTTTAAAATGAAAACTAAAAGGGTTGTATTGCAATAGGAGCTAGAAACCACAGCTGATGTCAGGGTCCTGTTGTGCCTCATACTCCCACAGACACTAAGATACCCCGTTCTTGCTCTTTGGCTCCAGCTGGACCTAGAACAGCAAACTTTGGAGTCTTGACAAAATGAGAACTTCTCTGAGTTCAGTTCACATTTAAAATATGTTTTAGCCACAGAAAACAAAAAAACTTGTTATCGTAAACAGAAACTCAGATTGTACATTACAGTTAAGCAGCAAGTAGCAGCGTTTGTGTCTTCTGAGTTACAGCTTGTATAGGCTCTCAGTCTTGTTTGAAACACCACAGCGTACTGTGCAAGTGTAAGGGTTTGAGCTTCATTGCCTGCCAAGATTACAGTAAATTCATGTTTCGTCTTCCCGTGGAAGTTACATCTGCATTATTTCTTTTGCTACACCATATTATTATATAGGATTATGTAGTATTATATTTTAAAAAGTTTCAGGAAAAATGTGTATGTCCTTCTGAATGCCGTACCCCTCTTAAGCATCTGCCTTACAATCAGTGAGGGTTGGGTCCTTAAACTCCTTAGAGGCCTTTGAAAACCCTGTCAAGTCCCTATCTGCTTAAACAGATTTGAAAAGCTGATCTGTAGCCTCTCTCTGCCTCATTTGCACCGTTCTGTAATAACATAAAGAAATAGCTGGGCTCTTCTGCTAGAATTAGCCATCTTCTTGACTTCAGTGCCCACAGAACAGCGTTGGCTGTCCAGTGGAAATAAACCTTGTACAGCTCCCAGTATTTTATAAACAAAACACAGCAGTTATGCAGCATGAATAATTTATAAACTCACGAAAAATCTTTTTCCTACTTTCAGACAGCCAAATAATAGGCAATGGTCAGGACACATTGCAGGTGAGTATCACGTGGCTCACTTACAAGAACAAGGAGCAGCAAATCACTAATCTTGGGATTTTTTTTTATCCCAGGTGGTAGGAATTAAAAGGTGATATTCTTATTTACAAGGTGATGAAAACCTGTGTCCCATGTCATGGTCTACGCAGAAGCAAGGCTCCTTTTGAGAAGCAGATCAGGAAAACTTACTGCATTTCCTAACAGAAAATGAGGAAGCCCTGGTGGTGATGATACTTCTGTCAGTCATTGCTGGCTGGATCCAGCTCTTCTACAAGCACTAAGTAGTCTGTGGCACCTGCTAGTGAAGACTTACTCTGGAGAGCTAGGAGGAAAGGAGCATGTGTATGTATGTCTTCACTGGTAAGCGTAGGAGCTGGAGTAATGTTTCCACTGTAATGTAACTGTGTGCACTTAGTATATTTTAAGAAAAGAGCAGGAAAAATACCTGGAGTTATATCCTGATTAGTCATTTACAAAGGAACTAACACTAAGGAAACTCTTCACTGAACTGTAGTGCTTACTCATGGTGAAGTGGTACATTATGATTTCTTAGCTGGAGACTAATCTGGGGATTAGTGCTGCAGAGAGACACCCAAAGGATGACTAGAGAGGGAAACAGGGGCCCTATTCGTTTTGAGCTTCCTGGCAATTTCCACTTGGTGCGAATGTTAGAAGTGTTTTATTTCTCTGGTGAACTTCTGTCATTTTGAAAAGCTGAGAAGCATTTGGTAGGAGGGCTTTAGTTTTCTGGTGTTCTATGGAAAGCAAAGCTTCCCTTGGCAGAATGAGGACCTTTCTGGTGGACAGGTTGCTTTAGATGTAAATGCTTCCTATCAGCTCCACACATCTGAAAAAAAAAAAAAAAAACACAAACGAACAACAACAACAAAAAAAACTGTTTCTGAATAATCTTCCCCAGTGACAGTGAAGTTATTTCAGTAAATCTCGTGCAGGCAGAACGCGCTGGGATTGTCATACGGCTGGGCTCATTGCAAACTGTCCAACTTCAGGTTACTTTTAAGACAAGTAATTTACATTCCAAGACTCTTCACATTGCACAGGAGCAGCCACAACAGCACCTTGTTTTTGGTAATAAATTTACTGTTATCTATAATGACTCCTGTGATGTGAGGCATTATATTGAGCTATGTGATGTAACAGCTATGATTGCTAGGGCCTGCAGTAAACAAAGAGCTAGTGTTTTTTTGCAGAGAATAAAACTGATTCATAGGAAAGTTGTATAAGTTCCTGCATGCTCTACTGGCCGTGATTTGAAGGTAGTTTGTGGTCTTTCACTCTCACTCAAATGAATCCCAAATTTCCAGCAGAACTTTTTTTTTTTTTTTTTTAAATACTTGAGTACTGATAAAGACACAGTTCTTTAAAGTTTACAGGAGCTGGGTAGTTTGAGTGGCAGCTGAATCTCCCTTCAGTGCAGAAAGGAAGGTGAACTCGAGTGGATGTGAAGGTAATGTGAGATACAGACATGCACTACGTGACAGGAAAATTTTCTGCCGGGTTGGTGTGGCTGTCCTAGGAAGTGCTGGAGTACACACTGAGATGTGAAGATGTTAAAAGATCAGTTTCTGCAGGAAAGGCTGGAAGGTGAGCAGCAGGGAAGCGATTTGTCAGGGAACCCAGACCGTCACCCAAAAGGATCTCACAGGGAAGCAGCAGGAGTTGTGTCCTGGCATGCTGTGGACCTGAATTTACTTCTACATTTGCCAGCACTGCATTGGCTTAGTATGGTGAGGAGCACTGAGGAGGAGGTGAACAGTGTGGGGCAAGGAATGGGAGCCTGCAGCTGATGGATCCCATGCAGCTGCAGGTTCTCCTATCTTCCCTCAGTCATCTGTGGTGCCATTGATTCTCATGACCGTGGGATTTTGCTGTGGAAGTTAAGTTTTACAAATTGCTATCATTTATTTCTAATTATAAATAGTAATAAAAACAGAGACAGTTTCTGGGCTTAATTAATCCCTCGCAGCAGGATTCCCCCTTGACACCGATCTCTGTTCCAAGCCACCCTCTGGTCCTCTTTCTGTACTAAACTCTCCCTTCTCCAAACAGTAACCCTGTGTTACAAACAGATCCCAGTTGCAGAATAATGCTCCACGGTGTGAATCCCACTGTCTCTCCTACCCCAAGACTCTCCTCCCTGAAGTTAATGTATTTTGAATTTTATCAGCTTTCTTTTTTAATTGTTTTATTTTAATGTGAACACCCTCAATTTTAATTTAATATTTTTTTTAATCATCAGCCAGCTCTGTCAGCCAGCACAGGAGGCTGCCTCTAGATAGATTTTGGCCATCATCAAGTTACGAGTCATCAGCTGAGCTGTAGCAACTGATCACACGTGTTTTTTTTTGACTGATGCCTATAATTAATATGAATGGGAACTGCATGTACAGCTTCCCTAGTGAGATTTGGACTTCTTGACCAATTTTAAAATACTTTTTGTTTTGTTCATTTTACTCTAGAGACATCTGTTTGTTTTTATTCCAATGAAAATTAAAGAGCTAACCTTGGTCAAAGTTTAAATTTGTTATTAATGTTACATTATATTTTCAGAAATTTAATCAAGCCTAAGTTCACTCAAGGAATTCAGCTCCTCTTAATAGCTCAGCCTTCTCTTTTTCAAAGTTCTTCATTGACAGCTTGTGTTGGGTTTTAGTGAGCAGAATTAAAACCAACATCCTGCTCATTGGAGTTCAGGGTAATACTGAAGGCAACGCAACCTCGTGTGCTCTTGGAACTGGCTTTAGGAACATGAATTCACAAGCCAGTGTATTTACTTCCCCTCAGTATCTATCAGAAGATCATATTTACATGTGAGGTTGAAATTTAACAGCCCCTCTCCCCCCTCCCCACAAAAAAAAAAAAAAAAAAAAAAAAAAGATTAATTTTAATGCAAGTGAAATGCTTTGCCTTTCTTAAATTGTCATCATCTGGATGTCTGTGGAATTGTCACTGGTGGAAAAGGAATTGTTTCTGTGGCTGCACAGAAAGAGCAGTTTTGATAAGGGACTGAACGGTCTAAGTAGCAGCTTTTTTGTACTAGTGAATTTTTTGAAATTAAGGAAGTTGGTCAATGGAGCCTGTGAATGGGAGAAGGGGAAATCGCTCTGTATAGCTGCGTCAATACACATCCTGCTGTATATCACTCAGAATAAGACTTTGCAGCTTAACATGTGCACCTCTGAAATCTTACATCATACATCTTCAGCGTTTCCTCTATAAAAGGATCAGAAAGTTCTGAGAGGGCTGTTTGCCTGAAATAAGTTATTCAGTCCTGCATCCATCTAATCCAAAGCTTTTCCATCAACACTAGACCAAAAGTTTCCTGTTCCTTGGTTCTCTGTGGTCTACCTTCTTACTCACCATAACCTCCTGACTGCCAGGTCATGCATGACTTGTAAGTTCAGACCTGCATTTGATTATAAGACGAGCTCCTAAAACCCTTAATATGGTTACTAATTCCATTGGGAAAGGCTGAAATAAAAGTATAAAAACAAAATGTTATTTACTAAAACCCCCATTTTAGTAGTATGTAAAAAAATGTCCAGCTCCATCTAAAACCAGTTTTTTTCATCTTATGATAAAATAGTCTGGTGGCATCAGAGGGACACGTACTGTATTATTTTTGCCCCATTCAAAATGGCTTTAACTCTATCTTGTCTCAGCCAGAATTGTGGCAAAAGGGGTCTAAAAGGGGGCTATAGTAGCCACACTGAGAAGGTCATTTTTGCTTAGGTTGTTGGGTTTGCTCAGTTAAACCCTGGGGCTTAGTATCTAAAGAATATTTGATTAGCTTGGATGAAGTACAAGTGCTTCTATGCTGGAAGCCAGTCCTGATAGCTGTTACAGGATGGTTCAAGGTACTAAAACTCTGAATGATGGCAAGTTAAAAGGAAGGAAGACCTTGCTAGGCTTGCCCCTGGAAGAAATGTCAGAGTCAGAACGACTCTGTTACTTCAAGGAGGATGAGCAGGAGGGCGTTGGGGTGCTGACTAAGGCTGACAGAGCCCTGATGGCTGGGGAGGTGGGAGTTATGCACCGTTTCCATTATGCTAACGTCAACTTAAAAACACAAATGCCCATCTTTGTACCTCTCCCTGCTCCCCAGAGCCTTCTAGCAGCTAAAACAAGTAACAGCCTAGCTGCCCTGTTCCCCCTCCCCAAACTCCGCGTAGCATTCAGCTCTTAAGTCTTTTAAGGTGAGCACACAGCGGGGATGGGAGTGAGCATTATGAGCAACAGGGTGCATATTCTTCATGCAAAATAATATGAGATACTGGCAGAGGCTGTGAAGCAGTTCCTTTGACTTCCACTGAGAGTTTCTTGAGACTGGGAGCAATTCATGTAGGGGAGATGCTAGTAACAACGTGTCAGGCAAGGGGGAACAAGCTATGAGGGGAAAGAGAACTAACTGGCTGAAGTACATGTGGTCAGACAGCATGAGGGATGGAGTGAGAAAAAGACAGATGTACGCCAGGATCGTGTTGCTGAGATGCCTCTCAGGCTGTATTTTCTCCTGATGGTTCTTTTTTGTAAACCTGCGTGTGTGTCTTGACTTCTGGGGAGTTGAGAAGGTGAAGCCCATGCAACTTCCTGGAAAAGCAGTGGGTGGCAAAGATACCCTTTGTGTTTTCAAACAGGATCTGTAACAATGCCCTGATACAACATGTTGAATAATCCACTTCAGCCTTGTTTTATAGCTACCTTTAAAGCTTTGAGGAATTGACATTCATTGGCATATTTTTACTAAAATTTTCCTTGGTCCTGACTTCTTCTGCCATGGTATTATCCCTGTATCTGTATTTTAGAGATTATGTAACAAAACATTAGGTTTCTTGACTCTCCAAATTTACTAGAATTTGAATTATGCTAGTTAAGGATGAACAGTATATTTCATTTTACTAGCTCCGTTCTGATTTTTTGCTTGTTCATTTTATCAGACTGAATTTAGATAAAAATTGGAATTGAATGACAAAAAAAAACACAACAACAAAAACCCTTTAAAATGTTTTATTAGTTGTTTTAAATATGATGTTACTGAACATATAGGAAGGATGTTTTGCATGTAAAACTAAATTGTTAAATGCAAAATAAAGGAATTGAAAGGTCAGCTTCTGATTATCATGTACTTCAATGCTTCAGAGTCCTTAGGCATCATCATTTTATTTATGGATTGTAAGAGGAAAACAGGCTTTCCTATTCATACAGGGATTGTAAGAAGGAAAGAAATCTTCCTTCTTTTTTACATCTCAGTCTCTTTACCAATTCTGAATGAACGAGTCCTTTTAGAGACCTGATTTAATGAATGAGAATTTCTTTTTTCCCTATTTCTTTTTTTTTTTTTTTTTTTGGTAGGAGAGGGCCTGCTGTCAGAAGCTAGTTATCAGTTCAGTAAGTGTTCTAACAGTTCACCAATATTGGTCTACTCTGTGCTTCAACTTTCTATGTGAGCTTAACAATAAATACGTGTACAGCATCATACTAGTTTAAAAATGCAGTTTAAAATAATTTAATAATTTTGGGGCTTGAGCTTTACCATGGATTTGTCATTATTGAATAAGCATTTCTTTTTAAACAGGAAAAATATCTAAGTGGTATTGAAATGGACAAATTTATATTATTCTTAAACTATTTTTGAGCCCTAAAGGAAGGAGTCGGAAACACACGTAATGCTGATGTAGGTCACTTTGTACTGGGGAGTCACAGCTAAACTCACAGGCTTTTTTCCTGGCTATTTGAATGTCAAACACAGCCACCTGTGGTGATTCTGGTGTTTGTGCACTTCCCTTTTTCACTAGGCTGGTGTTGTAAGCCTTGAGGGACTTCCAATCTGTGTCTACATTGGTGTAATAATGGAAATGGGATGCTCTGGATCGAACCCTTGGATAAGGAAAATCAGATCTTTTCATAACAATCTGTGGATGGCCCACCTAAGAAGGCTGAAAACATGTATGTAGGTTTTAGAAAAAAATCACAAATGTCTTTCTACTTAGCTTTTGTATCGATAACTGGTTGTTTCATCACCATGACATGAATTTAATGAGCTCTTTTGTTACTGAGGCACTGTTTACCAAATGGTTGGTTTTAGGAGCCATTTTATTTGTAATAATTCACTGTTCAGTAACTTGGCTCATTGTCTCAAGACAGTTAGACAAACGCTTGCTCAGAGAATTTTCTGCACAGGTACTCCTGCTCCTGCTCTTTCTGTGCTATTGCCTCTACCTGAACAGATGGAAGCAGCATATTTTAAATCTGTGAAAGTCAAATAGAGGAAAATACAGGCAGATTCCTGATTCTGCTGATCCCAGAACTGAAAAGAACAAAGAGCTATCAGGTCTGCAATTTGTGAAGTTGGAGTCCTTTTGCATTGAAACAATTCTAAGACCTTATACTGAATTCATTCAAGTTGGTTGCAAGTCTTGCACTGATCTCAGTTGAAGGTTCAGGCCCTAGTGAGATTAACAACATAAACAACGTCTCTAAGAATAAATGCCAAAGAAACAGGAAAAGTGGACTAAATTTCTATGTCTTTGACTTAGGTCAGGAAGAATGAAAACAACAGGGATAGTGTTCTTTTCACAGAGAAATGGACAGGAAGCACAAAGTGTGAAATAAATCTATCGTGCATTTCCACTGCTGTTTGTTGGAAAGCAGTGAGAAACTTTTTCCTGCCTACTTTACCATGAGGAAGGAAGGGCTGAACAACAACAACAAAAAAATCTGGGCTTTAACTCATAGCTTTTCTACAGACCTTTTATGTGACCTTGAGCAAGTGATTCTGAGCATTTTAGTGGCAAATAGAGGATAGGAAGGTTTTTTTTTTTTTGTTAGCCTTAAAAAAAATCTGTCTATTCACCACTAAAAATGTGAACTTTTTTTTTCTAACTTACTTTCTAGAGAACGAAGATGGATGGACACCTACAGAGACATCCCATCCCTTCCCATAGATGGGATGAATTGTCATTTGAATGTACACATCTCCTTTGGCAGTACAGCTAGGCTTTATGACCAGCCCTTAGTTAGTGGCTCACTTTTCATGTCAGACTCTAAGCATGGGCTCTGTTCAGCCCCTAGCATGTCTGGTGTCCTGTTTTACTTGTTCTTATTTCACTATGAAATATGACCTGGAAGCAATGATATCATGGGAGGGTCAGAAGACCCTGTCAGGGTGGCTCTTAAGACTCATGGCTTCCTGGGATCAGTGATACAGGATCAGTTGTTGCATAATACCCTCGTTAAAAAATTATTTCAAATGTTCACTCACGGCATTTGCAGAAACTTACAGAAGGTTGGTTAATTAAACAAACAAAAACATTGCTGGAAACAGAATTGTTCTCAAAGTGGTTTTGTTTTTTTTTTTTTTAGGCAAGTTTTACTCAGCACCATTTTGCAGGTAATTTGCAGCTCTTTTTGTCCACATGTATAGTGTGACATGTTTCCACCAAGCCCAGACCCATTTCCATTTCTGTGCAGCAATCGTGTCAAACACATGGTTTGGCACAAATCAAACTGAAAGCATGAAGTGGGCAACTAGTTGACATTCATACCTTGTATGTTTATTTAACTGGAAATGAATAGACTTGCTGTTTTCTGGACTGTTTTTCTGAAGAGAGCACATGTATTAGAGATGTGAAAGACACGCACGCACACTCAGAAGTTTGAAGCCCTTGGGCTTCTGTGAAATAATAGGAATTAGACTGTACAGTCACCACCAGAAGCTTTATTGACCAAGACTGCTGGGTGACATGGTGGGCCTGCAGAGGTCCAAGTGTCTTGTGTTTAGTAGTCTAGGATTTCACCCATCTCACATCGTGTAGCTGCAATATTGGACAAGTTCTTGTTGTCCTGAGAATAGTTATGACTGTGAGAACAGAAATCCTAAACACAAAAAAACAAACAAACAAAACCCACTGAAATTCTAAGCTGTGATTGTCTTCTGTATGTGTGCTTGTGTATTATTTCTGGCTACCATGGCATTTTTCCTATGAAATTTGGCTTTGTTAGTTGATGGTATTGCTTTGGTCTAACCAACTACATTTGCAGACCTGGGCTGCACAGACCATTACAGAGGTGAACAGAGGGGTTTTTAGCAAATAACCTCATTAATCTGCTAAGGTTTTTGCTCAGCAAGAAAATATTCAGTGTGCAGTGTCACAGTTCTCTGAACTCCTGAAACTGGGTGGGATTTGTCCAGCTTTTCACGAGCTGGTTTTCTTTCTCGTCACATGTTCTGTGCTGTTTACCACACATGGGTTACAGATGGTAATTTCAATTTAGAAACCCAAATGTAATAAATTCAGTAGATTAGTATTTGGCCAGGATTGAGTACTGAGATTGTTCAATTGACTATTATGGAAAACACATCAGCCAACCTCATCTCTGACCAGAGAGCAGTGGTTCCATCCCCTTACAAACAAAACCTTTGTTATGTCTTCCTTGCACTATGGCTCTGGTCTCTACTGTGCGTTTGTTTCCAAAGCAAAACAAAGAATTCATAATCCTTGGCAGTTTGAATATTTCAACTTGGATTTTCCTGTTATACAATTTACCTACTAGACAATGGAATATAAGAGATGACCTCACTGCAGAGGAACAGTATGTTTTCAGATGCATTCAGCCCTATTTGTTTCTGGTTCAGCCTTAAACAAGAGTGAACTCTAAAGCAGAGTCTGAGGATCTGGGCTTTAGTGCTGATATCCCTTACTTTATGCAAGAGGAGCACTCGTGCCTGCTTATTTGGCTATAGTTTTCAAGAGATACTAGAGTTTGGAACTTTGGGGTTGAGGTTTGGGTTGTACCATTGTTAAATATTAAAGAAAATAAGGGCTTCTTTTTTAAGGTAGTTTTGGAAAAAGGAAAATCTATTGCTATTGGCATTTTCAAACTTAAATAGGATAATATGTACACACAGATACTTATTAGTACATACTTTGTAGTCCCTGTTATTTCATTATAGGAAAAATCTTCCTGTTTTACGAATACAAACACACATAAATGCATGATTTCGATTCACTGTGATAAAAATATGGAGGAATAAGGATAATCGGCAAGTATCATACAGCTTTTGATTGTTTTACCCGTATTTTACCTGTTGCTTTCCTCCTGGTTATTTGTAACGTGTCTAGACTTCTGTCTGATTTAATGAAAAAATCATAATGGCAACAAAGATTTGATTTTTTCCCTCCAGGTTTTTCACCAAACTGACATTGGCTTGGAGTTCAGAATGAACACCTTCATGCTGTGAAGATAGTCTGGAAGTCCTGTCATGTTGCAGGTATGTACAGGTAGAGATTTTAGCTTTACAGTGAAACCATCATGCCACTTAATTTTCCAGTGAGTCATAATATCAATTCCTTATTATTTTGACCATTCTGTTTACACTGGTTTTAAGTGTTTTATTTAATTTATTCCCCAGAATTGAAAACAACATCCAAAGATGCATAACAGTAGAATGTAGAAGAAGGAAAAGTAAAAGGCTGTAAGGTACCAGTTTGCTGTTTGATTTTTGTCCTTTATCAGTTTAAACAGCATGATCTGTTAACTGCACGGTCATTGGTCATAACTGGGTGGGCCTTCAGAAAATCAGCTTTTAACTTAAAAACTGAGTACACTGCCTAGGTGAGGACCGCATCAGTATTAGTCTTGAAAAATGAGCAATGAATGACTTTTACTTTTTTGATGAATATTTGTAGGATTAACATATAAAGCTGAAAGTTGAACAAGCAAGATGAAGTGAAAACGGAAAGAATGACACAGGCTCCTCTGCCAATCACTTGCTGTCTCAGAGAGTGCACTGTTTGGACAATTAGTAATAATTATTTATTTTAGTATTTTAGGATGTCAAGACCCTGACCAAGACTGGGGTTTTGTTATGTGTCACACCCTGCTCATGTAGGGACAGTTCTGCTCATAGGAATTGCAAAGTGTAGGAACAAAAATAAAGGCACACAAAGGTGCTATTTGTTTCCACAGGGTGATGAAAAAGGTTAAGCAGCAGGACAATGGCACAGCCAAGAGTAAAGCCCAAGTGTGCTGACTCCTGGTCTTGTGTCCTGCTTGCTGAACATTGCCTTCTTTAGCAGGAAAATGGAAGCCAAAATGCTGCAATAGTCTGGGGTGGGGAAGGGGTAGCAAAGAGACAGAGAAAAAACATGTTCAGCTTTTTATGTAACTACCATAATCAGGACTTGGTACTCAGTGACAAAACTGCCTGTCCATTTTTTGTCTATTGAATTTTGCTACTCATCTAAATTTGTTAGTAAATCTTGACTGCTAATTCTCACCCTATTTCAACATTTCCCTCTACATAATCATGATATAGTCTGGTACTTCTTTTAATTGTTTTATAACTTTCCAGTGACTAATAGCATATACGTACAGTAGGAATCTATATATTAGACAAGTTCAGCATCTTGTGCATCTTTAAGTGGTGAAGTGATGAAAATTTAAAGCCTGGCAAAGTCAGCTTTTTGGGAGGAGTTGGCCAAATATTCTGTCCATTCTCATGAAGCTTTTACAGACTGATAAACGAACAGTCATTGCCATAACCATTTACTAGAACTCTTTTTCCATTTCTGACAGTGAACAATACTGTGGTGTCTGCAGTGTTCATTGTGCTCACTGTAGGAAATGGATAAAGCATACTATGCATATGGTAATAAAGGTGAGTGCCTGCCAGTTTCAGATGTATCTGATGAGTACTGCATGGGTAAGAACTGACATGCTCAGAGTATGATAGGAGCGCTGGGCTAGGAGTCATTTTACTGAACAGTGCATTGATTTAACTTCTACCGTTTACCACTGAGACCTAGATTTATGTGTTTATAGTCATTTCTATGTTAGTGCGTCAGTGCTTAATGCAGATCAGTTCCTTCTGAAGTAGACAGGAACGATCAGATTTCCTCTTTACTGATGGGTGAACTGGAGCCACAGAAAGACTTCATGATTTGTTCACATAGCCAGCCAAGACAAAATATGGGATTCCCAATTCCCAGTTTGTTATTCTAGTGATTGGTGGAGGCTGTTTCCATTCCTCAACTGTTAAAGAACACTCCTTCCTATTCCGTATTCTGAACTAGAACAAATTGTACTGATCTGACCCCAGTTGTAAAGCTATAAATTTAATTTACAAGGTCATTTATATGGGAGGAGATGTAGTGTCAAAATACAAGAATCTATGCAAGGAGAAAACAGAAGAGGCATAGATAACATAACCCCCATAAAATGTCTCCATATGTGATTTGTGTGGAAACAGTTGCACTGAGATCAGAAAGAAATCTGTTGCTTTTGGCAAAACTGGTAACTCTACAGCTCAGTAGTTATTAGGGCCTCTGTGTGATGCTTTTTGAGCTACGGACTTATCTTAAATACTTCCTGTTTTACAGCTTTTAGCCCTGTCAAGATGTATGCCTTAGTGTGATTCAGTTCTGTTGTTATAATGATATCAAGATTTAAAATGAACAGTTAAAAGATTAAAAGATAGTCTGGCTGCAAGCATGAAGATGAACATAGTTTGGAATGGAAAGTAAAAGACTACAGAAGCAAATTTCAGACTGGAAGTTGATCTGGCAGTATTTTAGGCACTCTTTGTTTTCTGTATATGTCAGTCAAGTGAGCCTGTCCTCACTATAACACTCATTAGCTCCAAAAAAACAACCCTTTTTGCCATCAGCTAGCCGCAGTAATTCTGCATGGTCTAAAACAATTGCAGGAGCAGATAGAAATGACCAAATTGAATTCATCAGATTTGAAAAATATTAAGAATGTTAATGCAGGAGTAAGTAGAGAATATGCACCTCCTTTGTGCTAGGTGCTGCACACAATTACGTATGTGCATAGAGGTGGTCTGCTGTTTGGTAGCTACAGTAAGTGATGTTAAACAAAAAAATGGAAATACCTGTCTCTGTTTTAGGTTGTGGACCCGTAGGGCTCATTTTGAAGGTAATAAAGGAAATTATAGCTGCATTCATGTGGGACTATTTGGGGAGAGAGCCTTGAAAATAAACCTTTATTTGACAAAAGGATCTGGCCATATGTGGTCTTCCAAAGGCAATAAAGGATCTGACCATTAGTGGGAAACACTACAAAAATTTCATCTTTATAGTACTTTCATGAGCTTTCCAGGACTGACAGTGTCCTTGTATCTCAAGACTCTCCAACCCTGTAAAATGCATCATACCAAATGACAGTAAAAAGCTATCAAGTAACCTGATCTTAAAATCACAAATCTATGCACTTGGAGAAAAAGAAAAAAAACATGCCAAAGCAGAGTTTTTAATTCCCCAGGCAGTACAGATAGAAACCTGTAGGATCTTTTATGGGACACAGTGCGTGCTCTCAATTTCTGTCATTTTCATGTATCAGGACACTGAGGTGCTACTGAAATGTGGCAACGTAAAATAGAGAATCAGGTAAATATCCTAAGAAAGTACAGCGGAACCAGGTGTTTTTTATCAGCAGTGCTTGAGGTGTGGGACACCACTTTTGCCTAGAGGTTCAGCTTTCTTTCCCGAGTAATGTAATATGCATCTCAAAGAAACAGATATAGGCATGATTGGAGTTCTTCTTGTCTGAGGTTTATCTGTACTCCAAAGAAAATACTAGCTGGGAGAGAATGGGCAATTCCCATCGGTCTGTAAAGCAAACTGGGATGGATGTGGCACACTTGTACAACCTCTGTGTTAGAACTCATAGAAGTATTAAAACATGAGATTCTGGTGAAATACAAACAGAAAAGAACACCCAAAGCAAGAAAAATGAAAGGGATCTGCCCTTCCATACAGCTTTGTGCTCCATTTTTAACTCCCAATACAACACAAGTGTAGCACTGACCTCAGCAGCATTTGGGCAACTGTTTTCCCCCAAGCCACATGTGATGACTGGAGTACTTGATCTAAATTTATGACTTGCTGTTCCTTGTTAGGCTACAGCTTCCAGCCTGCCTGGCAGTGTTTTTGGTAAAAGAGCAGCCTCCAAGATTAAGATACATAATGCCTCTAAACGATGACTGTTACACTTTCTTACCTGACTGTAGAAAGGAAAAAAACAACAACTCAGAATTGCTTCTTTTTTAAGTTTCCTAGTCTTAGCTAGGATATGTGAGGAGGGAAATGGTTCTAATTAAATTAGTGGGAATTTTGCTGTTATCCTGCAAGAGATCAAGATTTTACCCAGGCCTCAAAAACAGGCAAGTCTGAAAGAGTAGGTAGAGTGCCTCTTGTTCAGCTTTGAAGGCAAACACATGGGCTAACCTGGGTAAGCTGGGCATACTTCAGTATTTCTTCTTCAGCCACTGGAAAGATGAGAGAACTTCAGGCTGTTTTGGAAAGTGAAGTTATGACTTAAATGTCTTAAAATAAAGTGTGAAGGGATGAATGAAATAATGGACTAGTTCATAAACTTACAATTAGTCACGTGGTCTCCTCCAGTGTAAAGTCACCTTTCTCCTTTCACTGGCAGGTTTTGTTGTCAGATGTAGTTAATAGTCTAATTAAATAAAAATAAATTTAGCATGAAGTTTTTGCTGGCCTTCCTCTCACATTCATGGAATAAGTGAAGAGATACCTATCTGACCTGGCCCTATGACACATGGGGCCAATCAGTCAAAGGGTTTGCTTTATAGAACAGTTGTTTAGATAGCAATTCACAAGATTTACACCGGAGATAAATTAGACTGGACTCCAAACCACACCATCTCCCTTGCTTGTCATAAGGTTGAAAGGGGAAAAAAAACATTTGCGAAGGGGTAGAGGACTGGACAGGAGCTGAGCTCTTACTCTTGCTCTGCCACAGAAGTAATTGAATGTGTAGCTGCTCTAGGCTGCATTCACATGTATGGCAATCGGATATTTCTGACTGTGCTGCTGAATTTGATGCAAGCATGGGCACTCAGAAAGGTGCTGATTTACTAACTCTTAAACTCAGTAGAGGTTCTTGAAGGGATGCTGAAGCAGCTTTGGAAAAAGCAGCTTATTTCTGTTATTTTGGGGAGAAGAGAGCTTCAGTGGCAGCAAACATACTGTAATAGACTGAAGATTTTTTGTATTGTGCTTAAAAAAAAAAAAGAGAGAAATCTGTTTTGAGCTGTTATTAGTTGTCACTGTGCAATTGAAAGGTCAAACCTGATGTTCTTGCTCAAGCAAAACCCTTCTCGAAGCCAATGGAGTTTTGCCTGAGAAAATACTGGATAGAAACATGCACAAATGTCAGCACTGGGACTGGATTTGAACTGTATTCAGGCACTAGTTAAGAGAGTTCCAGAAAAAGCTCTAAATGTAGAAAGAATGCTACCTTTAAAGGGTAGTTTTACATAAGAAATATGAAGTGATATCCTCAGTTTACAAACTCTTGGGGATGAGAAGTAAGTGGCTGTAATTCATGGCTCTGCTCCCTCAGTTCTAGAGATGCCAGTTATCAAAATGTTATTAAATAAGTCTAAGGTCAGTCTAAATGCTACTCCTGCATGGAGCAGCTGGCTGTCCACAGCCTGACCCACTCCTGAGCAGGTGGTATAAACCTGCCTTTCAGTTCAGACCCCTTCACATTGCCTCTGCAGCCATACTTCCCAAAAAACGTGAAACAGCATGAATATTTACAGCGCAGTTAGCCATATATAACACAACAACTAGGAAATGCTAGTAGAAGCAGGATTCATTTACGTAGCAGCTGCATATGGGGCTTTGCTGCACGTCTTCTCATCCTGAACTTGGTTCCACACCAAAACGTGCCTCCCACATTCTGATCTCTTCTGCTGTGATCCTTGTTCTGTAACATTCACGAGACTGTTTTATATGTGACAGCTTAAGCACAGGCTGAAACATTTCTTATTTCTGGTAAAGTTCTTAATCTGACCTTTGCAGATTTGGTCTAAGTACCCAATCATACGACAGAAAAAGTAATGACTAATTTTGGTAAACAACTTACACAATGCAGTGTACTAAATTAAATTGTAAAAAGTTAACAAAAACTTCTCATAAGTTATTCTGGGAGGGAAATGGCAAAGAAGTTCACAAGTCCTCTCAAATAAATCTGAGAATATCTCAAGCTACTCACAAACAAAAGAAAAGAGATGGAGATTTTCCAAGGAAATTATTTTATTGCTCAGCTCTATTCCTGTCCAAAAGGTTGGGTAAATGAGTAGTCACTTCTAGCTTTTGCAGTTTTAATTTCTAAGCAGGGCAGGACACAGAGTAATGAGTCGCTTGTGAATACTCCCAACACTGAGTGATGTCTCCTGGAGGTGGGATCAAATGTTTGCAAGTCTATAGAGAGTCCGATCTTCTGTTGCTTATGAGACATTCATGTTGACTGTTCATAGTGGTATTTTATCTGTTCCAGTTACATTGGCAAGTACAATGGATGGAGGTGAAGGCGTGTGGAGGGGTTCTTGACTCTTAAAATAATAATAGTGATGGTAATAATAAATGCTGGTGAGACTAAACTAGATATCAGCTATCCGTGCATTAAGTCATAACTTAGTCTTTGTACACAGATTATTTTCATATGCTGACTATTTAAAGGACAAGCTAAACTAGATTAAATAAATAACACCCCTTTACATCAAAAGACAGAAGTATTTCAGGCTCTTCACTTTATTGAGAAGTGGCTTGCTCACAGTGTACAATTTTCTAAATGGTTTAAAGAGCATAATTGTAGAGTTTTGTCTACTGAGACAGATGAAGGTGTAATAAGAGCCAACCACTAGAAGAAGGAGGATCCATTCAAAGTAGGGGTAAGGCTGCATTTTGAACAATAAGGGTATTTAACAACTTTGAAAAAACATTGTCTAGGAATATGGTGGATCTCCTTCACTGAAAGTCTTTAAATCAAGAATGAAACTCTTTCTCATGACTGTGCTTGATGCTGTAGCAGGAGTTATAGGCTTGACACAGAAATTACTGGGTGAAATTCCATGGCTTGTGTCATCCAGGAGGCCTGAGGAGAAGATTACATTTGGTCTCTAGTGGCCCACTAGTGCTTGCAAAGCATTCAGCTGGATTTCTTCTTCAGCATATGTGGAAGAGGAAAAGTAACATTTCTTATATCTGGACAATAGATGACAAGTGGTTTCCACTGGAGCTACAGATCAGGTTTCCCTTAATTTTCCAGGCAGTGCACTAATTTGTCAGGGAATAAGGAAACTGCCAAAGGACCTTTTGGTTGTTTTAAATTTGTGCAGCCTTTCCCCTCCTCCCACTTGTTCTCCCCTCCAAACCCAGTGTAGAGGTAAACAATGCATAAAAGTAGTCTACTGGTCCAAGTATGAAAACATTGGCACTGAGTAACTGTGTTTGCATTGGGCATCCTTTAAATTATATTAATAAAAAGGTGACTGGATTTCTCTGAGTACTCTGAAATGAGTTTTGAAAGAAAACAGCTTTTAGCAATTCGAGAGAAAAAAATACATATATTTCATTTGCAAATGGCATATATTGACTGAGGTTGGCCATAATATTTATGAATAACCATAGAAACACGACAAACAGGATCTACACAGTTACTTCCAAACTTCATTGCCAGAATCAGTATATTCTTATAACACTCCTAATCTGATATACCAGGTAATGGCAAATATTACGTTCACGAAAGAGAAGAAACAAACAGGCGCACTCCTTAGTGAAGTTCTTCGGCAAACAGACCAACACTATGCACACACTTTGAGCAGACCGTAACCTGTTAATTAAACCACAGAATATCTGCAAATATTTACTGTGGTTTGAAAAAGCTATAACGGTACATAAAGTAGATTTGCTTTACATTTCAACACACTTGCTGGTGAGAATAAATGATAGGAAAAAAAAAAAAGAAGGAAAAATGAAAACAAACAGATTGTTTCCAAAATCCTACCAAATATGTGATCCACTGAAATTATCAGACTGTTAACTGCTTGTAAATCTGCCTAGACTGGGGATGTGAAATTATTTTTAGTGTGACAGTAGAAACCTTTCTAATGCTACCACTGTGGCACCGTGTCAGCCTGAGTAAGAAGCAGCAAGAGTGGCATAATAGTCAACTGAGCAACCTGAGAACAAGGCAGTTTAGCAATACGTAATTTTCTTTCCAAATAGAAGAAGTATACTGATGTAATTATGTTTACAGCCTGTGAACTTCTGAAATCCTAGCGAGAGTAAATCTGAGGACACTGCCATCACCTTACATAGTCCAACTAGCAGCTACATAATTTTCAAAGAACATCCAGAAGCCTGAGAAGTTTTGCTCGGCTGCTTAATAGGGTGTGTAGAGCTCTGTTGTACTTAGTCGAAATGATACATCTCCAGCATGACAATTTGGTATCCATTACTGTTAATATCCATCCTGCTGAATCGTATTTTGTGCTTCCCATAAATTGTAAACTTGGTCCAGAATGGAAGAGCTTGAAATAAATGCATTTTTAGGTTTTTTTTTTTTTTTTTTTTTTTTTTTTTTGGTTCATTTATTTATTTATTTATTACTTGCTGTCTGGTTTGAGATTTTGGGACTGATAGGGGATGAATTTGCTGTGGTCTCATGAAGCATTCTTTCTTCTGTGTGAGAAAGTGGCTTTTGCATTGCCCATACATCAGGCTAAGTTATGGTGTCAGCAAGGAGGGCTTTTCTTTGGAAGAGAGCAGAAGAAGATGTTATGGAGGTGTTCAAGAGACTGGGAGAGCTTTGTTCCTCTCTGCCCCTTGTGGTTTTGCTTCTCATTGTGCTATAGATTGTTTGAATCACTGTCCTGTTTCAGACAAGTTGTACAGGCAGATGCTGGGCACGTGGCAGGATTTCAGATTTTCGTTGTTGTTTTTGTTGTTTTTTTAATGGCACTGGAAAAAAATGTAGATTGCAGAAGTTCAGCTGAGCATTTCTGCTGTCATCCTTAGCAGGGGAAGAGTAAACGATGTTGACACAATCATCTTTTGGTTTCAGATTTACTCTGCTAGGATGGGAAAGACAGGAATTCACATCCCTCAAATATTGTTTCAAGTTGTCTACAGACTAGAGAAGCACTACACTGCAACAGCTTACTTTTTATTTTTTATTTTTTCTTGTAATTACAAGAAAGGATGATTGAATTTCTAAGTGTTGATTTCAGTGGGAATAGAAATGTAAAGACACTTTTGGAAACTTGTCTGTGATTTATTTTAAAAATTAAGCTTTAGATTTTTAATGTCAGTTCTCTGAAAAATGTCAATGATGGAAAGAAAACAGTTGGCCATTCATATTCTACCTGAATAATTCTGACGAAAATACACATAGTTTTGTGCAAATTAAATTGCTCAGAGGTATAAAGACCTAAAAAATTAAACTTCAGAAAAGTGAAAACTAGTTTTTGAACATCAAACTAAAATGAACTCTTTACTTAACTCTGTAAGTTGTACCAATTCATTTCTCCAAGCTTCCCGGACAAGATGAGCGTTGTCTTCCAAGCAAATGACAATATATTATACAACGGTGTTGTATGCAACATAAAATGGCCTCAGCTTTTTTATGGAAATGGGAAAGATTCTCAGGCTTTCTGTTCCCAGTCCAGTTTAATTTCAAGTCTCATGCTCAGTTTCACTTTCGGAATGCCCTAAGAGAAAATGTAATTTAGACTAGAGCTGCATTTGCAAGTTAATGGCACTGACTGTAATCCTTCAAAATGATAGATACTGGAATTTTCCCCCCTTTACAGGAGGAATTGCATTTCTCAGTGTCACATAAGGAAAAGAAACAAACATGCAGAAACAGCAACTGGCCTTCAAATCTTTGAAGATACATTTGTGTTTCCAAAACTGAAGCAATTTTCCTGCCAGAAATCAATGCGACCTGAAGTTAGAACCCCTGTATCTGTGCACTATTTACAGCGTTGACTTTCTTAAAGACACCATTCTATGTATTATAGAAAAAATTGGAATTGGAGTGGGAAGGCAAGAGATCATCAAGCAGGCTAGGGGTTTCTCTGTCATACAGAAGAAGTTTAGACACAAAACTTGGCTTCTTTTTTTTTTCTCTTGTATTCTGCATACTGCTAACTGTCATCAAATGTTTAAATGCAAGTGTTTGTCAGTTTTGACTTGTTTTGCAGTATTGTATCTTCTTTTGCTATATTTCAGATGGATTGATTTGCTGCCATTGTTTTACTTTTACATCTATGCTGTGCATTCAAGGAGGTTCCTTGCTGAATGGCCATATCCTCAAAACATTGTTCTTCAAGAACCTTTGAGGGTAAGAAATTGCTGTTTCCACCTGAAAGAGGTGGTTAGAAGGATGATACAGAGCTATTCTGATCTCTTCCTTCAAGTAGCACAAACCCTAGCAGCAAGAAAGGAGGCCTAAGAAGGATCTGCCATCCATAGTCAATACAGGGAAGGTTGTTTCAATTAGAATAATTAAACCCCAGACCCACACTCACCATTTCTGCAAAATTATCTCTGTCCTTCATTGGAGCTAGATAGGGAAGGTAATTCTGTCACTCTGAGACTATTGGATGGGGACAATCCTCTCACTTAAGCTCAGCCCAGTCAGTGAACAAAGGTCAGAAAATCCTAAAAACACTGGAAGCAAAAGCTGGCAGAACAGCATCCTGTCTCTCCTGGCTAATAAATACAGGTGGTCTCTGCTGTTAATGGAACTACTCGGTGTCTCCTTCAAATAAAGTGCATATCAAACTCATAGAGAAATGTAAGGCTTTAGCTGTTCAGACGAATGGTACTCATCCTGAGGGAATAAGATTCATTACATCCTTGCAACACAGGGCATAATTCAGCATCAGTTGCATGGATGTTGTACTCAGAGCTACCTGTCAATCTTCACCAGGTTATTTCTCTTCCAGATGACAGCTATCCGTTCAGCATTAATGGAAGCAACATGCGCAGAGATGCTTTTTTTTTGCCACTCTACAGTGTCTTACAGCCACAGAGTTGAAACCTCAATGCTTACATTGCTGGACTTCGCTGCAGCTTCATCAGAGTGAAGTACAAGGTATTACTAGTATAGTACAGGAGGAGCAATATCCCCAGAAATCTGGACAAGAACATTGCCTGGAACAATATTAGTAGCTTCTCCTGTCCCGTAATGTGTTGGAATATCTAATACGAATCAAACCCTATTTATGCTAAGGTATTGCAATATTGGATGAGGGTCTGGTGTCATCTGTTTGCTTCCTTTAGTTTTGATTGCCATGCTGTAGAGGGGACAGAATGGGGGAAATAATCAGGGCATGCATTTAATACATGTGGAAGGTGATTTTCCTGGGCCATAGATGGTATATCTGGGTCTTGTCAATATTTTTCTCTGCTCAGTCTTTGCTCAGGTGCCTTCTTCCAGGAATCTACCCTTTCATGTGTGTTTACTGCCTTTAAACAGGGAATAAAACCAGAGGGGAGAGGAAAAATAAAAACATGACACATAGTAAAAGGAAGGTTACTCCTTTGTTGGTGTTTTGGGGAACAGTTTTGTGTAAAGATTCTTAATGTTTGTTTTTGCAAAGAGATATTTACCTTAAATCTCAGGTACCTGACAAACGAGCTGGAATACCTTACTGGATTGTATCAAGACTGCTTGGTGATGCATTGACATTTGGTGTCATGACTCCATTAATCAAAAATATTTTGGAGGAAATTCTTCCTGGTTCATTCATCCACAAATAATTTACACTGGGAGCAGTGGGTCTAAACCTCCTTGGCAGTCTGAAATCGAGGAGCATGATGAACAGCTAGCCTGGCTCCTGACTGACCAGACACCCACTGCTTACCAGGGGTCTCATTTTTTTCAGGCATGCAGTTAGTCTGTTGTGCCTGGAGGGAGCTCACAGTAGATATTTGTGAATGATAAAAGAAAAAGGGACTGAGGGGCCAGGGACTCAACACAGGCTCTCAGGTGAAAGAAAGCACAGTTGTTAACCTTCCTGTGCCTGATATGTGGTTTGTCAATTAGGCAGCAGAAGCTGAGTTGGTTGTATATTGACCTACAAGCATTAAACAACTGGCTGGGAGCCATATCCTGTGAAGACTGCACTGTCTTTTTGATTTAAAAAGCAGCACCACAGTTGCAGTTCCACTTAAGGCTGGTGTTTTTTTGTTTTGTTTATAATTTCAACTCCTATTTTGAAACATAGTCTTTAATAAAAAAAAAAAAATATAGAAAAATATCTTTCACCAGGTGCGCTCTGACTATTTATTTGGAAAAAAATAAAAATGATTTTGCACAGAAGTATCCAGAGTTTTCCAAAGGTTATTAACATGCATAGCCATGCCTGGCTTGACCGTGCAGTATGCTCCTAGACAGAATGACAAAGCTGGAAAAATGAAGTCAAGGAAATATGAGCTGATTTATTTTTTATGTGTAACAAGCTAAACCTTGATCCAGTGCATCTGTGGAGCAAAAGAATATTTATTCAGTTCCACCATCAAAAACACTGACAAACACATGAGGTGAGTGTGAATTGTCTCAGCTGAACTCATGTATTCTCCAGACATAATTAAAAACTGGCCCAATTTTTAATGTGGGCTACTTAATTGGATGTCAGAAATTCCACATTTGGAGGTTCAGTTTGACCTTTAGTTACATAAAAGAAGCGTTTAAGAGCCTCCAGTGAGTGTCAGTGTTTGAATGCAGATGCCATATTTGAAAACTGTGCTCCTTTACAATGATGCATTCCAGGCTAAAAAGCCCTGATCCTGCAAACAGTTTTGAGCAGGCTTCAGCTTGCTGCCACTGACACCAGGCTGCTGGAATCCACTCATTCCAGGCAATGGTACACTACTGAAGATGAGTACATATAGGGAGCAGTTCAGGTCTAAATTAGCAAGAGATTTTTCTCTCATTTAAGTACACTGTAAATTTGAGAATTAAAAGGTGGAGATTCAAAAATGAAAGAGAAAGTGCTCAGATAACTCTCTCTCCTAAATGCCAGAGGATTTGTCGGGGAAAAAAGCAAATCAATTACAGGGAGGCTTTCAGTAAGTGGGAAAACTTGTTAAATAAAGCTAGTGTGACCAGGTGAAAATAGGACTTTTGCATACACACAGGGTTGTTCTTAGTCCAGTCAGTCTAAAGGAGTTATATAGCAGTGACACCGGGCTAGATCACCTGTAGTTCACACCGCCAACTTAAGGAAGAAGCAAGAGATGTAGACAAGTATTCTTGTTTGCAGCTGTTGGAAAAGTCAGTAATCCCTAGTGAAGGGACCCAAAGGAACACTTTTGGAAGAGGGAAGACCTAAAGCATCTGAAGCTGCTTGCTCAGTGGAGCTTTGTCTGTGCCTCATGACATGGAGAGACTATTGCAGCTCCCGGTATCTCAAGCTTGGCTTGTGTCACTACATTGCACAGCAGGGTTAGGTAGGCTTGCGTAGGCTGAGGCTCACATCATCTACCTTTGCCCCCAGTCTGTGATTCTGTTTCTGGAGTTAAAAAAAATTGGTTATGGTACAACATCAAAAAATTAACTCATAAAATGATTTTTTTTTTTTAATTATTATTTTTTTTAATGCTGTGATCTGCCTACAAGATTTGCAAATGATGTGAGAGCCTCCAGATTCAGCTTTGGTTTCTAATATTGCTTGGATCTGTATGTGCAGGTTCCCCTTTACTATGATGTTATGCTGAAACATGCAAACTGATGTTCTTGTTCCAGTATCAATTTGTTTTGGTCAATTAAATTAACAAAAATGTAGCTGTACGGGTAAAGATGTCATCAGTAAAAGGCATTGCTCTCTGAAGCGTGTTCCTCACTTGCCAACTACTACTTGGCAGGAGTGAACAGAGGAGGTCATTAGTTTGGTACTTTCTGGAGAAGGATGCAGTGTGCTTCATACAAACTGCAAAATGCAGGGGAATGCCAGACTACTGGCATAGAGTTATTTCGTTTGCTGAGCACAGGGGATGTTAAATATCTGTAGATAATTTTTCTACTTTAAACAAATGTTCTTACTGTGTATGGCTTGTAGTTCACATAAGGCAGATAGATGTTCATGGGAAAACAAAACCAGGTGAAAACTGGGCTGTCTGTCAGTCAGGACTGAAAGTGCTCCTATAACTTGGATTGCATCCGTAGTTCTTGGTAATGCAGCTATATATGAAAATCAGTTTGAATTGGCTGGTGTAAGTGTAGGAAGTACTCCAGCAAACAGGGAATTCCCCAGGAGAATTATGTTTGTCTTTAAAAGTAGTTCATTGTCTCATTCAAAACAAACAAAAGAGTTTCACAGATAAAGAAATGTAAGTTCTTTCCAGGAAGGAAAAGTATTGCATGATAAATAATGTGTGAATTGGATAATTCAAATGGTGTGGATCGTAACCTATGGAATATAGAGGGGAGGGATCTACAATCTTATTATTTGTAATGGTTCTTAAATCACACACAATAAATGCTTACAATATTATGACCAAGACTTAAAAGAAAAGGCAGTTTTAAAATAAGTTACTTTTGTTTAAAAATAATCTAGAGTGCATGTTTTCATTTTTTTTTCTCTCTGTAATTCTGTGGACTAAAATCTGAAAGAAAAGGAGCACCCAAATTCCCAAGATTCCAGAAAGTGGAACTTCCTTTCCTTTTTTTCCTTTTTCCTTTTTTTCCTTTTTCCTTTTTTTCCTTTTTCCTTTTTTTCCTTTTTCCTTTTTTTCCTTTCTTTTTAGAAGAAGCCCACCCAGTATCAGAGTAAGTAGCAAAAATGAGTGTGGCAATCCTCTTGTCACACTGAATTTCCTGCACTTTTTTTTTTAAACAGATGATGGCCCTGGTGAGAGGGTGAGACTGTGTACAAATGTTTGTGGTTTAGAGCCCAGTTTTCCAAAGAGAAGTCCAGAGTACACAATACGTCACCTGTTTGTACTCCAGCTCCATGAGGAAACTAAGACAGAATTATACAGCGTTTCCAGATCAGCTCTCCCATGGGGCTTCAAGGCTGAGTTTTGGTCTCTGCAAGACACAAAAATGTTTCCCCACATGAATTCAAATATTACTTCTTGGCTGTACAGCGTGCTACAGGCTTTATCCACTGGTGTTACACTTTTATACTGTTTTAACCATTCCCAAACTAAGGTGGGGAGTGTGGGTTTGCCAGTGTAGTATTAGTCTACCCTTGACTAAGGGAGTATTTGCATTTCTTGCTATTACTGCTAAGTAGATTATTCACTGTTTGTGTGAAGCAAATTTATAATGTCTTGCAAGGTTGTAGCGCACCTAATGAGAGACAGAGGGGATTATGCCAAGTGGGATTCCTCTACCTCCAGTTTAATCCACTTTAATAACTGACTTTGGGAGCAGCAGAAATCAGACCTAATATGTATGGTTTTATTTGATGGATTGTGAATTTAGAGCCCAAATGAATACCTGGGCATGTCAAAAGAAAGGTTGCTGTTATCTTCAGTAGCTTTGGAGGATATCCCAAAATTCCCTGAATCCTACCAACAAAGACTTTACTGAAATGAGAACGTATGCTGGCATGTAGCTCCTCCTCCATGCCTTTCTCCCAGAACGTAGTGCCAGGCTGTGAAGGGTAAAACTTGCCCTGTAAGAAAGAAGAATTTGATGACAGTATTCGGCTTCTTTGTGCCGATAGTCAGTAGGAGGATCAGCTAGTGTCGCAAGCCCCACTGGGTGTGTATGTTCTGTCCCATGGTCATCTGTATCGGAGCACCCATTGGCTCCTTTCCTGGCCATGCTCCCTGCTTGAAAGACGTATGCAGGCCATGTTCTTGTTCCCAAGACATGGAGCAAGTCCAGCAAGTGGACTTGAGCACACCTCTTGTGTCAGATTTCTGAGAACAAACACAGAAGGAGCACGGAGCACAACTATTGCATACACAGATGCAGAAGCTAGTTATAGATGGGTCTTTTTATTAAAAAATTTACTCACATACCAAGCAGATTCTGTGATTATTATTACAGTTTTTTACAGTTTAATTTTTACAGCTATTTCTGTTTGTTTAGTTGTAAAAGGTCTTTGGCTGGGTGGCTTTCAGCTCTCAGGTGACATTGATACCACAGGCAAGCTGTGGTCATATGTTCAGAATCCTTGTGGTCGTATTTTGTCAGGAATTAGGGAAAGAATAAGACCTTTCTTCTCCTCTCTGTGGTTAGAAATACTGGACAGAGGCATCTTGCTGGTGTTGTTTCATGTTTGTTCATTTTGGTGTGGACAATGGACAGTGTCAGTCACGCTGCGGTGTCAATGGAGCAGAAAGACTAGGCAAGGAAGGGAATTGATGTGCATGCTTTGACTCAAGGGAGTATATGCTGTGCAAGTCAATGGAGAAGGCAGGCTACTAAGCCACTGAGTGTTCCCTTTGTACATCAGATTGTGATTTTTGGCTTTTTAAGGCAACTATGTGAGCAAAATACAGCAAGGGATAGATTTTTCACTAGCCAGCTCCAAGCTCTCCTTTGCCAAGAAACTAACGTTAAGTGCAAACGGAAACCCAGTCATATACAAGTGCATGTTGAACTTCAAGGGATGGAAAAGTTGTGTGAGACCCAGAATCCATGTTTGCATTCTTGATGTGTGTGCTTTTTTTTTCCTTTTTCTTTTTTTTTTTTTCCTCTCTCCAACAGAAAAATGGGATTTGGAGTGGGGAAAAGAGGGGAAAGAAAGAGCTGGCAGAATTGATAAAGGAAAACACTCTGACACTACCTGACCATAACCTGCATTTAACTGCCAACAGAGGCAATGCTATATAAACACGAAGCTCTAACCAAGCGTTACTGGCTAGATTTAGTTTTTGTTTGTGTGTGTGTGTTTTTTTTTCTTTTCTGCCCTCAGTGTTTTTGTTAATTATAAGCTGCAGCACTGAGAATATTTAATTTTGTTGAAAGGATGTGTGGTTTTCTGGGTGGTGGGTGTGAAGTAGCTGAGCGTGCTACAGAGGTGAAGTGTCCAAAGTAAAGATTTTAAAGCATTAAATGGGTCCACCTAAGCAAGTGACTTGTAGTGTTGAGACTTATATATAACTTTACCACTGAGGCCAGCTTTAGGGTGTTCCCTGCACATACCCTTCTAGTTTCAGTGATATAACTCTAGTTCAGCAAGGGTGTTCAGTTACACCATGATAAATGTATATATACCAATTTTGATTATTGTGCTGATATATATTTACTGATTTTAAAACATACATGCAGAATGCTAGTATTATAAACTAAGGACCTTTGTACAAACGGTGTGAAGACTGGGTCTGTGTGAATATCTTTGTTGAATATACTTTTTCCTATTGTTCTATGCTATGATTATACCTGTCTGCTTCTGGAGGCATCTGCTGTAACCTAGAGGAGCTTACTGGTGTAAATGGGAGGCATCTACTTTTCTATCAGCTTCTCTGGAAACTTCAATTATTTGTCAGGACAGAGTGAAGGAGAAAGCTGAGTTTTCAGCAGCTGTTGAAGCCATATGGAGCTCTAGGCAGCTGATCTGCTTCTGCATCCTTTATACTTACCTTAAGGCTGAGGCTGCCATTTAATGCTCAAGGAACTTAATGCCTTTTCTCTCCACCCCCACCTGAAACACCAGCTGGGAGTTCTGAAAAGATGTAAGGCCTATCGACAAATAAGTCAGTCCTAGGTCACTTGGTGCATTCTACTACAGCTACTCTAATCCCTGTGAAAGGATAGCTTGAAACTAGCTAGTTCTGTGGGTACAGACTTCTTGTAAAGTGCTGTGAAACAAGGCCCAGAATTTTATACCCTTTGTTTTTTACCAGAAACCCCTCCAAAGACTTAGTTTCAGAGACAAGCTCTTATTTCTACTTACGGCTTAAATACATATATATACATGTATTTATATGATTCCTTAGAGAATGCATAGAGCTTATCTGTTGGCAGGAACCAAGAATGAAAGTTCTCAGTCTAGTTATTTTAATTTCCATTTTATTTGTCAGGAGGTGGCTGCAAAGACTCTGTAGATGTCTGTCCTCCAGCTGACTACAGAGGGATAGGATGCTCCAAACTTAGACATCTCCTCTAAGTCCCTAAATGTAGATAGCAAGAACCTGGAATGAATGAATTTCTGTGGTCTTATTTTTTCTCTTTACTTATTTTTCCCCCTTTTTAATGAAAAAAAAGTTAAAAATAAAACAAAAACATTTTTACAAATAGTGGCCAAATCATAATAGCATTTTCCTGTTTCTCTTGCTACCATTATCCATGAAGAAAAAGACGTTTTTTCTTGGAACACTGGATGTGAAGCTGAAATGACCATATTAAATTCAGAGTAACTATGGCTGGAAGACAAGAACCAAAGTCATGCAGGCCTTTGGAATTTAGGTTTGAAGGGAGAAAGTGATAACACTAGTCACAGCTTCAACTTTTCAGACTCAGCCATGGGCTCTGAGGGTTGTGTCTGCTCAAATGATCTTCAATAAACAGGTTAACAGCTTTTGTGGCATTTGTATTTTCCAGGTTGATTCTACTTTTGATGGCCTGTTTATCTCTACCTGTATGCTCAGGGAAAGACAGTCCTGCATCACTTCGGATTTGGTGAGTTTTCTTTGGGATGGCAAAAAAAGAAAAACAAAAACTTTAAGCTGAAAGTTCAAATCTAGCATAAGTTGATATCAAACGAAATAAATGCTTTGAGACAGGTATTCATCTGTATGCTGATACCTCTACAGAATGGTGGAAAGGTGTGGAATATCTTAGGTACAGCAATACAGTGAGTCTGCTGTACCTAGCTAGATTTTTATAAGATTGGCCAGCTTCATGGTGTCTTAGTGGCTGTTCAGTTCCCATAGATTTGCTTGAAGTTAAGGCTGATGTTTAAAAGCAACAACAACAAAAACACAGACAATAATCTGTCACAGCATAATGTTTATTCTGCCAGTGTTTTGTCAAAATAGAAGCCCCCCAAAACAGCAGACCTGGAAATAAATGTTTCTGAGGTCTTAGCAGCAACTGGATGGTCTGACTATTCAACAGTTGTTATCCGTTATTGAAGACTACTGCATGAAGGTAAGTGTCCACAAAAGTTAAGTACTGGAGGTTGCACTTCTTTAAATAAAAGTGCACTCATTTATACACCTTTTAGCTTCACTACGTAGTTATTAGTTCCCATATTAATGAGCCACAGATTATTTGTATACATGCCTTGTCTCCCAGTTAATTGGTTTTGTATTCCTGTTAGCTTCAAGAATGCAAATATATCTTTTATTTTGCATTTTTATACTTCTTGAGCTGAGTTTTAGAAGCAAATGATCATTGGTCATTGTATTTTGCTCAGGAACGGAAATAAAATGCTTCATTCTGCACCCTGGGAAAATTTTCAAGAAAACCTAACCTACGTTATACACTATGAAAATTGAAAATGGTCAAAAGTTTAATGTTTTGAGCTGCTGGAATTCCACTGAAACCTAATCTTCAAGCTTGAAGCAAAGGGCTAAAGCAGAGCTGTTATATTTTGTTGTTACTAGGTCAGCACACAAGGATGCCATCAGTACTTAGGTAGCTGAAAACTGTGCTTTGCAAGGTTACCAAATTTGCACACGGAGCTGGTCAGAGAAACAGGAGGATACTGTTGGGAAGCACTTCAAATTCAGCAGTGATATAGTGGTGTTATTTGCAAGGTTAAGTAGAACTATTATTTAGCTATTCTCTCTGCTTCCCTCAATCCTCAGCAAATTAGGTACAGCAAATTTAGATACTAAACCAGTTTAAATTTTTAAAATTTCAGTAATCATGAAAATTGGGAACTGTTAGATATATTTTTATCAAATGCATGTGTTTATACTCATAAAAGCCTGCCAATTTTATATTTATGTTCTTAGACAAATATATGTAATGTGTTTGCATTGATATCCTTGTACATAGGCACTTTTGGGATCTTATTTGTTATCCTAGTAATAGGTAGAGCAGAACAACTTACAAAAGTCTTGCTGAAAGAATAAGTAATGGCACGATCAGACACACTGGTTATCATCATGCTCTGCAGCATTGTGACAGTGGAAGGAGCAATGTATATTACATAGAAACATAATCTTGCCAAAGCTGAATTATATAAAAGGTTTAAAGTGATCTAAAGAAGGAATGAAGAGGGCTGTGCTTTCCAAAGACATTTGTTCAACATTTTCTGACATCAATTGTCATGACAATAGGTGGCACCCTTATGCCAAGAAATACCATCTTGTTTAGTTTAGCTATGTTTCTCTGGATATTTTTCTACTGCCTTTTTTTTTTCTAATTCCTTTAATCAAAATTATTGGGATTAAAAGCAAAAGCAAGTTATCAAAACAGATTATTCAGTGGGAATATAGGGGACATGCCTAGAAAATTAAAATATAAACTCCATTCTGATTACACAGTATAGCACGTCACAACTATCACTACCGCTCTGTTGAGGAGGAATCTGAGAATTTAAAGTATGAGCATGTACTGAGTGATGCATACAAACTGTGTTAGTGTATGCTTTATAATTGATTAATTTGACTCCTTTGGGAGTACTTAAAAAAGCAAGAGAAACAAGATGTGTCCTGTTTTATTTTTCCTGTTACACAAACACTTGGTTGCATGGGGATATCCAGATGATCTGAAACTTACACCTGTGCAAAATCAGAAAGGGAATCTCATAAGAACGAACCTCTCTCAGTAGAGTTTTTGTCACTTTTACTTCCAATGTGAGGCAAAACCTGGAAAAAATGTTAACCAAACTTTGTCAAACCACAAGCATTTTGGCTTGCGGTTTGGATAAAGGTTCAGGTCACTTCTCACTGTACCCTGAAAAGACCTTATTCACTGCTCCTCTGCTGAGGTTGAAAGGAGATAGGAAAAGGCAGAAGAGAGAAGATTAAAAATGCCTAAATGCATTGCAGAATCATGGAAGAACACCACTTATTAGAAAGTGTGAAAAGACATCAGTTTTTATTGTATATTTATGGAATTGTGTATAAGAAAAGAAGAGTTTTGCTAAGCAAAAAATTTATGTTTGTTTTTTTCATGAAAATAGGCTTTAAAGATCTGATGTAATACTGGGGACATAAATTGTCTCAGGCCTGCAGATGGCCCATAAAATTTGCAAAGCCTTGACCATTTATAAGCTGGAATTAGATCAGAAAAAGCTTCAGGATTCATTGAACTTTGCTAGTCTTGGCAATGTCTCTGTTACACTTTTGCTGGCATTCTGTTTCATTCTGACATTGCAAAAGTATCGTCTTATGGTGGTAATGCAAAGTTGAAGGGGAAAAAGAATTTTGAAAGAATCAACAGAGCTAATGAGGTACTATTTTAATTTATGAGGCATAGTTAACACAGCTGTTCTCTTAGGTAAAATTTTGCTGAAGTAGTTATGATACTATAGGCAAAATTAAAATTTCCAGTGTTCCATGAAATGTTGCTTATTTAAACCTCTTCCTTTCCCTTTCATCATCTCATACTGTTTTTTGTAGTTTTTTTGCAAAGGAAAAAACATTGCAAATTGTACATTGGCAAATTGTATTTGGTGCCAAAATGGGTATGTTGATTTCTGCTTAACATTGCTCATCTGCAGCAATGAGTCTGGTTTTGGACAGGTGGTTACAGAGCCAGTAGGACCCAGAGGCTACTGCAAGTCAGTTAAGTCTAACACATTGTGCTTAAAGTGTCTCCATTTAACATCATTTACCAAACACTTTCATAAGCTCATCTTGGACTGACAAATATCCTATTGCCACTGTTAAGTGTTTCTTGTAACATTGTCATATTTTGCAGGGTTTTTTTTTTGTTTGTTTGTTTTTTTGGGGGGAGGTTGGAAATACGAATACTAAACTTCATTATAAATTGTTTTAGGTTTTAAAAAAAATCTGTAAATTCTGTTTGTTAGAGCATAAAAACAGCTTAAGGATCTGCGTCTTTCCAACTGTTTCATGTGTGTGAATGTTCTTTCTGCAGAAGATATGCATATTTCCTGATAGAAATACGTGTAATAGCTTTGATCCTTTGGTATGATGCATTTTAAATATTCTTTTCATTATCAGTGAGAAAGAAAATAGAACTAGATGGAAGGTCTTTGTCAGTGTTGCTGATAATACTCTAACATAGCTTTGCCAAGAGAAAAGATTTATTTATTTATTTATTTTTAACAGTGCTATTAGAGTAGGCAGAAGTCATTTCATTGCAATAGTTATTGGTATGTGGGGGGGGTTGCCAGTCCAAACCTCTTCCATCGAAGCTGTCATTTGGTAGAAATACGTTGTGCTTTTTTAATGGGAAAGTAATTGAAATGGAAAAAATCAATTGTCTTTTCATCTTTCATGAACTAACTTCTGATAAAGTTTTTGAGAGCATAAAATGTTACTAATCTGCAATTTCTGAAAAAAAAAAAAAAGAAGAAAACATACTCTGTCTATTGAGGGAACGGTGTGATGGGACTGTATGGAAGACCCCTTTCCTATTGTATTTTTCTTTCATGACTAGAGTCCTATTTATCTGCCAGTGATTATTTCCCCTTGTATTTTGCATATACAAATCATTCATATCAGACATAAACTGTCAGACATCAGTGGTAAAAACTAAGCACCAACTCTGGGCCAGACACAAAACTAAGCACCAACTTTGTCTTTAAATAACACTTTTCCTGAAGAAACTCTTTCTTCGTACTGATGCATGATGAAAAGTGCAGACTTGGAAAAGTCAGTTGCTTTTGAGGGACCTTGCTTTGTAATGATTCAGATATAGGATGAAATGGTAGATTTCTGTATAGCTGCTTCTATGAAGCTTGTTGTACTCAATCTCCCAAAGTACGTGGGCATCAAAACAGTCTACTCGGGATAAGTTGCATAAACAATATTTCATAAATGTTTTAGAATTTCTAAAATCAAGATCCTGCCTACTCTAGTGCATTCAGTATTATAATTAGAAACTATTATGATATTCAACATTATAACTCTATATATTATAATTATATTCAGTGTTACAATTATTTGGTGTTAGAAATAAGATAGTTCTAAATACTACTTTCAACTTTGGTCTTGATAGGATGAAATTTAGGACTTTCTAGAGCATACTGCACTCTGGCATTGGAGCTGACATTGTCCTCTGTCATCTTTGTAGTTTTTCTTTAAGATAAATTATTCATATTTTTCACATTGCAGTCATGTTTGTGATTATTATTTTTATTATTTTTGAAGTAATTTCACAGTAATTTTTACTGGTTACTTTCAGAAAATTGTCCTAACTTAGAGTCTGAAGTCTAGGAGTTAAAAATACTTACAAAAGTAAATGCCATGGTGTATCAAGCATGGGAAGAGCCCTTCTTCATAAGAAAGAAAGAGCTTATTTACAGCTCGTTTATACGTGTACAGTGTATGAAGTATCTTGGCTCATTGATCAGCTAGCCAAATTTTGTATAAAAATAAAGTATTCCTCAGAAAATAAAATTACAGATTGTGTGGTTTGCAGGGAGTTGCAAAACTAAATGAAGCACGTTAAAAATACATTTCTGGTCTAATTCTATTTTCCAAATCCACACATTAAATGTAAATGTAATAGTGCAGGTTTCAAAACCAACAATGTTCTCCTTAGAACTCAACATCTTTGTTTTTAGAGAGCTGGGAGTTTCCATGAGTGATGCTGTACTCGTAGCACACAGACCTGGATGTGGGTAGTATGACACTGGCTTTAACCTAGCACTGAGAGCCCAGGAAATCTTGAGCAATATGAAAGCCAAAGCTAATGTCCATGTTCACAAGCTTCATTAAAAGTTTCTCAAGGTTTTTGGTTTCTCAACTGTGGAGACTCGGATTTAAATTCCAACCTACATTGGAACCTTTGGAGGATATACATACTTTTCTGGAAAAGGGTCTTACCATCTCTGTGTTACAGCTCTCTATTTTCTGCTTGTGGATTGTGCCCCTTTGGCAGTAAGCTCTTCATGGCAGAGTAGTCTCCTTCTGTTGATGTATACAGATCCTTGCGTGAATGACTCTGTGGGTCCAGACCTGCTTTTTTCTTTTTTTTTTCCTCAGTGAACAAGACTCTGGAAAGTAGCGATGTAAGTCAGCTGAGTGAGTCTCAGTTTTTAGGGTGGGACAGCCCCCTCAGGTGTTGTAATGATGTGAATAAGTAGTTACAGGAGATGCTAAATTACCCAGTGAAGTAGCTGTGGGATTGAGGTAAGCTTAGGCTTTTGTAGGAGTGTACAGCTTCTGACGTGCTCAGTGAGACAGACTTTTGGCTTTCCCTTATTTTGCTTCCAGCAGCACAACAGAGATGTAAAATGATATGTTGATGCTACAGAGCAGGTCACTGCTTATTACCTCCACTTTCTGTTGCCTCCATATTTAGCAGCAAGCGGTTAGATAAGGCATGATAGACCTGCTAATCTTCAGACAATCTAAGTGCCTTTGTGCATCAGACATTTCCACAGGACCTGTGGGGAGACAGCAGTAGGGTTGACCACTAAAATGTGCTATTTTATTGGACATGGGCAAACAAATAAGGTTATGGTCAAAGCGGTTAACAAAGACCAAACTGGCATGCTACTTGCTCATTTTTCTGAAAGCTGTGTGTGTGCTGGGGAACTTCGGGCCTAGCTAGAAACCTTGGATGCTGTTAATGAGTCTCTGTGCTTTCGTTATGAGCCTTCAGTGCAAGGTTAGAAAGAAAGAAATCCCAGACCTGTTCACCATGCTGCAGAAAACTTATTTATCATGCACAGATCTCTGGAGAAGTCTCCCACCAAGCTGACATTAACACTGACAGCCAGATGTGCAACTCGGATCAGAGCAACAATGAAAATAGACTGTGGTTTACAGCTACTTACAACAATAAACAGAGCATATCAAAGGATCCCCAAAACACACTTTCTCTGTAGAAACCTACATGGTTTTATTTTTCCAGTCTCTAACTTTAAAGCATTTTTGTCTTTTTTTTTTTTTTTTGAAGAAGAAGAAGAATTGAATAGCTGCAGATTCCTACCAGGGACAATTGTCAGGGACTGGACTGAACTTGCTGGTCAACCACATCCATCCCAAAGAGACTCTGTGCATAGTCAGCAAAAGCTTCAGAAAAACATTCCTTGCCAAAATCTACTTTCTTAAATTTATGATGCATTTTTACAGGGACATTACTTTATAAGGCTCTTCCTACTGCCCCATACAAATCATTACGAATGTCATTTTATATGGCTTCAGATGGACTGTGTGGTCAGTCCTTTGCTTGACTGTTGGTGAGTTCATCTAGCTGGTTAATGGGATGAAACAAGACTGTCCATCCCCTCCAAGCAAATGTTATTCTTTTTTATAGGTAGACACAAATAACATGAAATGGCATGGCAAAATGCTATAGGAATCCTTTGAAACACATTTCAGTGCGTAAACATTGAAAGTGAGTAAGGTGGAAATCGAAGTGTTTCTCTGTTAAAAATAAATAAATTCAGCTATGCAAGCTGATCCAGAAGAAATAGTCTGTGAACAGGAAAGTGACAAAAACAACTTTAATATGGAAGTGAGTAAAGCCTCTGTTTCAGCTTGCCTCTTTTTTTTTTTTCTTCTTCTTTTTATTCAGTCCTGAATCTATTTTAAATCTTGAGCATTCTTCTAGCTTCCAGATTTCAATAAAGTTGAAAGATGCCTTGTTCTCCAGGGCTCATATCACCTTACTAGGAAAGCCAGGGAGGAGGACTCACAATGTCTTCAATTATAGAGCTATATCTTCATGTTGACATGAAATTCTTTGCTAAATTTCTGGCAACAGAGTTGGAGAAACTTATTCCCTAAATTGTTTCAGCTGATCAAGCAAAATCTGGAATTCTCTCTGTGTCCTGGAACTTCAGAAAGCTGATAGTTTGTATTATCCTGAATCAGTCAAACTCATGTCACTTTCCTGGAATCTCTGTGGGCTGAAATACTTGGGTATTTTTACTTTTGCAGACATCTGCACTCCGCCATGGGATTAAACGTGAGAAAATTTTAGTTGTGTTTTATTGCTTCAGAATAGTTCCATGTAAGGCACTCTAGGTGGAAACAGCAGACAAAAATAATTGTCTTAGATTAATTTCTTCTATTCTGACCCTCCCCTTTTTACCTTGATGTATTACTCCTACAGGGTTGTGGATTTTCCTACATTAAGGTAAGGATGATCATCAGGTAACAAAATATTGACATGATAATTTCACCCATGTGTGCTACGTCATCAGATTTCAAATAACCTTGCAGAATGTCATTCTTTCCTTGCTTCTCAGAGGTAACAGTTTAGGAAGCCAGTTGTTAAGGGTGTCGGGAAAAAAAAAGAAAAAGCCTGCAAAGACATCTGAGTTGACTGAATTACTGGAGAACGAAGGGCTGATTTGAGGAATTTGCTGAGATGCAATGATACTTCTTGTAGCAGCCTTTGTCTCAGGTGGCTGTTGACCTGTGGTATCACATTGGGATGTACTCTTCTCCAGCACTGAAGATGGAGCTCTGTAAGAAAGAGAGATGCAGGACACACTGTTAAACACAGTTAAGGAGGATCCTGCCTGTAAAGGCCTAGTGATTATGGAACTCTGGGTGTGGACAGTTGTGATCTCTTAAGTTTTAACTTAGATTAAAATGCTCAGAAAGTAGAGACCAGAACTGAGTGACCTCCTCCTCAGGCCATGCAGATTCTTTTGCTGAGTGTTCTGAAGACCCAGAGAGCTTGACATCCTTTGCTGCACAATGGTATGGCTACAGAAAGGAAGAGGGTTAGTCCTGGCTGTGGGAATGCAAGCTTAAACATGAGACTGAGGAGAACATAGAGCTCATGCCTCCTGCTTTCAGGACGTGTCCTGTTCCCTGAGTTACCTGTGAGAAGGGCAGACAGCATTGTCTGGGTGTTGCTATCATCATCTCCATATTTATCCTTGCTGTAGCTAAACAAATAGATATTCCACTGTGGCCCTCTATTCCTGATATTTTTGACAGACTACAGATTTATCAATGAGTGGAAGCGGGGTAGAAGCTGAAGTGCTTTCCTAACTGGCTGGATCATCTTTACATGCTATAACAGACAAGTTCTTGTGGTCATGAGATTAAAATATTACAAGTTTTGTTTTGAAACAATGACACAAGGAATGTTCGCAACGACTCCTTGTGCAGTGGTTTGTGATTTAGCTCATGTTTGGAAACCACAGTTTCTAGATTGCAGGACAGCTCATAGCTTGGGAATTTCCAAAGCAACCATTAACTGGAATGTCAGTTTATATAACTGTGCCTGTGTGAGTTTAAGATTTGTCCTGTTACAGGTGGCGGTGGTGCTGGGCAAGGGGATGGAGAAAAAAAGGAAACCTACTGCAGTTCCTTTTGGGTGGGTGTGGTGGAAATTCAAACATTCATCTCTCACCCATCATGTCTGGAATTAATCTATCTGTCTGGTAAACCGAGTATAATCATGGCAAGAAAATGTATTTCCTATACTGAAGCTTTTCCTATGGGCCCCATCCTGCTTCTTATGAGGTCAATGGCAATGCCTTTGTAGGCTTCAGTGAGGCAGGGCAGCTCGAGGATGCTCTAGGTTCTTCTAGTCTTAAATGGATGCAAGAGCCTCCATTCCAGAGAGCGCTGTAGGGGAGCTCCGTCAAGGTGCATAGGCACCTGAGACACTGATAGCACTCTGAGGTGCTTAAATACTTGACACATTCAAGAACATGAGCAGCTTCCTTAGATCTCTGTGGTTAATGTACAGCTCCACATGCTGAGGTACTTTTATACTACCAATTTTTTTGTGCAACCAATTTCTTCATTCTGAAGCTAGACATTGCAAAATGGATAGGATTGGAAAAGAGGGGAGAGAGTGTTTGAGATCCTTCACTAGGAAAGAGAAATACCATCTCTGTTGTGACTTGGTATTATTTATTTATTTATTATTTATTAGGGTAAAACAATTACAGTCCTTGCAGAATACTGTGAAGTTATTTCTGACCCTTCGGTCCTATAGAGGAGCCCCACTGCACCTATACATTAAGTATCTAACCTCAGGCAGGGGACGTGGTTTCAGACGCACCTCTTCAATGTTTTGCACAGCGATTGTTAGAAATCTCAGGCTGAGATCTCTTTCTTTTTTTTTTTTTTTTTTTTTTCTTTTTCCTTTCAGTTTAGGTGAACTTAGGCACCATTAATGCTAGCCATGCCTGGTGGTGCCCAGCTCTGCTACGGTCTCTTATACCTCCTGAAACAAAAACATGCAACTCCAGTCTCTCTACAGTGTAATACTGGCTTAAATACTAAGAGGTAATGATAAAGAAACAAAAAAAAGGACCATGATATTACCACTGAATTCTTTTTACTTGCCTTCTCTTTCACTTGAAGGTGACTGCTTATTTGTAGTTTTAACTCTTTTGGAATTCAG